TGGCTTTGGAGCCTGGGGCATTTGAAGCCAAGAAGCAGGGAGGAAAGTGCTTAATCCCCTCAACCCACTCCCTCCCAAACACTTTTTCCTGGCAGTTTAAGTTTTCGACCCCAGCACAAGCCCCCCTCTGCTCTGAATTGCCACTATTACTTGCACCAAGGGGTCAGAGCAAGTGTGCAGGCAATGTGGGGTTAGACCCACTGGAAGCCAGACACACCCAGCACAGAGCTGTATAGGGCCCCAATTTTAAAGTTTTCTTCCCTGGTATGGTTCCCACAGCCAATGAAGATGTGTAGGTTTAGATTTGGATTATGGAACTTACAAGAAAAAAATCCAATCTTTTTGGATTATGGAACTTACAAGAAAAAAGAGAGAGAAAGCCCAACTGAGTATAGGAGACCATAATGTGAGCAATAAATGGTTCTTTTGGATGATAGCCTGGGAACCTGGCAACATGGTTGAAGTGTCAGGGTTGATGCTGCCACTCTGAGGTGCAGGAAAAGAATGTTGCAGAAGGAAAATTATGAAGCAATCTTTACAGCCCTAAAGAATGGTTAAGTGTTATGGTTCACAAGCTGAGGCAGCAGGGAGATGGGGAGGCCCATGGTCCTACCAAATGACAAGCTGATTGGAAAAGTACAGAAGCATGGGCTTTCCAACCACAGAAACCTGTGCCTCATTTTCTGACTGGCTGGGTGGCTTTAGGAGAATGGCTGAAGTGCACTAAACTAGATGCAACATCAGGCATGCAATGGGGCCTTGCATACTTGCCTTTTTCATATTGCTACAGTATGCAAGGGAACAGGAACGTGCCACTAAGAGGCGGTAGCACAGGAGTCATGGTTTTACTTCTTTATCTCTAATATAGGTACTCCCACCACAAACTGTCAGTTTTGCTCTTGGCATGGTTTCTCCGGATGCTTTCTAACCTCCATGAAAAAGGTTAAATAGCCCTTACTCAGCATGGCTACCCCCTAAAAAAAAAGTAACCCCCCCCATGCCAAATATTGGGAGAATGATCATTCCCGCCTCACCAGTTAGTAGTTTTGCCTTTACACACACACACATGAGACAGACAGACAGCAGCTGCTGCTCTCATCCAGATATTTAAATAGTGGTATCATCAGAATACTTAGTTGTCATCAGTACATTTGCTGATCGCAGCTCAATTTCTCCTTTTCGTCTCAGTTGGGGGAGGATGTTCTATTGGTTTCTGGAATCAAAGAGGAACTGGCTTTAGTCAAAAAACCTGAACCTCAGTTTGAACCACTTGAGAGCCAGCATTCAACTTGTTCTGAATAGAGTTTCACTCACCAAGATGTGTACAATACTTTTAGATTATCTTCAATATTGAAGACCTGAGCAGCACTGATGACACACAGCTTCTTCGACCAGCTGACACAACATGGACACTGTTGTCCATGTTTTGATAATATCCAGACTGAGCTATTGCAAAGATATATAGACTATCCAATCATGCGATTGTGCTCAATCATGTCAGGAATGGAGCTAGTAGATTGTTACTGGGGATGGTCCTTTAGAGTAGCTCCTCCCTGTGCCTAAACAGCTGCAGTGGCTGGGGTCCATTCCCAACTTCAATGCAATGTGCTATTTATAATCTCAACAGGGTGACTAAAGGATCACCTTCTCTCACATGAATCTAATAGAACCTTAAGACCACATCCAAGGCCTCTTCGTGTCTCTCTCAGCCAGGGAACAACTGGGGAAACTGTTAGCCAGAGAACAACTTTTGTGTTGCTGCACCCCATCCGTAGATACTCTACCTGAGGCATTTGCCTTGCATTGGGCCTTTTTTCTTTTTGGCACCAGCTGAGTGTCTTTTTATGCATATGGGATTATTGCAATGCTGGCTCTCCTAGCTTCTGTGGATGTTTTCATGTGTGTGTCTTTTTAAAAAAGTAATAACCCAGACATTATAAAACCAGGAGACACAGAGATAAATGTAAAACAAGCTAACCCTTCACAGACACTCAGACTCCATAAACATAGTCATCCAGGATTAACCATCCCATATTTGCACAGAGTTCTGACAGCTCTGAAATTAACAAAGGCAAGAATATCGGTACTGCTCTCTGGTGGCACCATACAGTAAATGCACCTCCGTTACATTTTCCCTTGAATGGAAAGTTGTAGAAGACTGATGCCCGCCCTGAACAGTACCGGCCAACAAATCTCTCAGCTTTCAGCTAATACTGCAGCCCAAGGCTAATTCCCCAGTTTGCAGTGGAAATGCCATCTCATTAGTCCCACGTTTTTTTCAAAGCTGAAATAAATATAATAAACACTATGAACTGAAAATGTAAACTGCAAATCATCACACGAAACACTCTCAGTTCTGCCAAGTATCAGTTTTTACAGAAAAATCACATCCCTATACAACAGATATTCCTTATTTTAGAACACACCAAGTCAACAGAGCAGATACTGTTGGAGCGATCCAAATATAATGCTTTTTTATTTCATGCATCTAATGAAATTCTTTAATCCATGAAAACTATATACTGAGGTAAATTTTTAATCCCTTAAGTGTCAGAATACTGCTATATAAATGACAATCCTCGGTCCAAAAAGAGCAAGGGACAATCAAATAATCTAAAAGTACCATTTAACTACTTCTACCTTCCCGGGATATTTTTGTCCTACCTCAAAAGATAATTTATTATTTCTTTAACTCCATTTTTTAAGATGCAAGCAGGCGATTCTGAAAATGACTGAAGAAAAGCCTGGCAAGGAATTCGTGTCTTCAGTTGTTCCAATTGCTTCATACAAGGATTTAAGCCATATTTTCTTCCATTTCCATATGGAGAAAGGAATTATGCAGGAGGAGCTCTTCACTTAAGAAATTAGGTTGCAGTCTTGGCCACACAGAACAGGGTCAGCCCTGTCATGCAGCACATGGTTCAGGTGACATATGGATTGACTGGAGCTAGCATTTCCTTGTGCTGCAAGACTTTTTAGAGTATTGTCCCTAGTTGTCCCTCACCAGAATATATTTCCAAGCAAATATATGTAGGGTGAATCTGCAAGGCACTGAAGTCTAGAATGAATGAATGAATGAATGAGCGAACAAACGTGTGTATTTATGTAGAAGCCTGAGCGAACGAACGTGTGTGTGCGCGCGCGCGCGCGCATTTAGAAGCCTGAGCTGGTTAGAAAGATGAGCTAAGGTTGGCATTTTTCCTCTGCCTTTAATGGGGATTGATTGATTGATGGTTTTTCTATATTGTCCCAATTACTAAAAAAGTCTCTGGGAGGCTTACAGAGAGTGAACCAAAAAAACCAGAACCATAACAACGCTCAAATTTTTAAAAAGTACACTTCATCTAAAATAGTAATAAAAACAAGAATAAAACCAGTTATTAAAATACTGCAAAAATAAAAAGGTCTTTGCCTGGCACCAAAAGAAATAGAGCAACGGCACCAGGCAAACCAGCTGGGCGAGCGTATTCCATAGCTGGGGCACCACTGCTGAAAAGGCTGTTCTCCGAGTAACTGCTCTCCTGATTTCCTTCAAAGAGAGTTTCTGGAAAAGGGCCTCTGCCTCCGATCTCAAGAGGCGGGCCAGCACAGAGGGAATTTATTATTTCAAATTATATGCTGCCACATTAGCCCACAATTGGACTCTGAATTGAAAGAAGCATATAAGTTCCAAACATGTGAGATTGCATGTAGCCATTTCATTGCTGCATGAGCACAGGTAAGGATGGAAGGAGCAAATAGGAATCACACATGAATTCATTTAGGGTTATCACTTGCCTCTTATAAGTTGATAATTCTTGACCATGCACAAGAGAGAGAGAGAGCGCACTAACAGCCAAAGCTCATACTCTGGGGAAATTTGAACTGAGATTATGGAAGTGAATGCTAAAGATGAAAATCCAGACCTCCAGCAATAAAAAGAAATGCTCAGCCTGTCCCAAGAAACTAATTTGAGACAGCACAACCAAATAATGAAAGCTCTAAGTTTAGCCACAAAGGTAGCCAGGCTGAACACCACAGCAGAGGAGGGAGCAGATGGACAGACAGCAGTAGGAGCAGATGGGCTGGCAAGACTAAGCTTCACCCTTCATTTACAAAAAGAATATTGCACTTGATGCTTGAGTGACTCACAGCACTACCCCATTTGGCCCAGAGCCTTCATCAGTGGCAAACAATATGGCGGTCAGTTGTGAGAGTGGAGTTTGCATAACCTGTATAATAGGCAGTAGCACTCTTTTCATAGCTGGTAAGTGTGCATCCATTTATGTGAAAATACCAGCCCTAACCAACCACAAACACACCGGTGGGGGGGATATGCTCCATGGGGGGGGGGATATGCTCCATGAGGCATTTGGGGGTGTATCAAAACTATTCTCCATCTCAGACTCAATTTCATTATTAGACAATGCTGCTACTTTCCTTAGTTTCACTAATATGTTTCTATTGTTATAGCCTTCCAAAGATTTCTTGGCAATCATATATAACCTGGAATCCACAAACAACCTTTAGTTATTTGTGTAGGAACACAAACCAAGCTTGTTCATACACAGCGCTTTCTGCATCAGTGCATGTATCTATTCTCAAATTGTGAAGTGCAGGAAGAGGGCAGTTAGGCTATTGAACATAATATTGTGTTCAGAATGGAAAGACAACCAGATAAGAACAATGCAAAATACGTAAGAATTTTTACTACAATTGCAATTTTACCCCTTCAATCTCATTCCATGGGTTATCAAACAGCAAGGGAAGATGGTCTGTTTAGAAGAGGTCACTCTTGTACAGCACTTTCAAGATTCTGCATTTTACAAATTACACTCACACCTGATCTTGAAAAGGCTGATAGTGAATGCTGCAAACTAGACACATTTTTCTTAACATATTTTAGAAGGAGTCCCCTGAGTCTTTGCTTACTTTCCTATCCAAATGATTAAACAAAGCAGTAGCACATTTATTTTAGGAAGATTTTAAGTTTACAAAAGAATACTCCATTTAAAAGATTCTTCGTTTTCTAATTTAATAGAAATAACCAAAACCAAGTGGTTTTCAAAACAATGTTTTTAAAACTGTTCTAGTACAACTGCTACACCACATTCCAGAGCATTTAACAAGAAATATTTACAGGCTGCTAAATGTATTAAATAATCATGTAAAGGAAAATGCCTTTATTACACACCAGCCAAAAAACACAGGAACTGAACAATTAGAAACGTTAACTTGTTAAAAAATTAAATATTATTCAGAGAATACAATACCACAGAAACAGCACTTTTTTTTGAAGAATCAGTAAAGTTAACTATGTGCAAAAAGTACCAGTTTTAATTACCAGAAAAAAAGAATGTTGGGAATTGAACCCTTTGATTTGTATGTGTACATATAAAACAGGCTTTCAATTGCACAAATCTTTATAGACCTGTTATATACATGTTTAATGGCATTTTGAACTGAAAGAATGCCCACATCTGCAGGCCTTTAACATGCATCACTTTCTATTTTGAAATTTATGTTCACACTAAGGGGAATGCTGAAACAAATGAGAGATCTATAAAACTCTTTGCATTTCTTTGTACAAAGTTGCAAATCACTTTAAAAGAAGCAGCTCCTCAGCTTTAAAAAGCCCTCAAACAGAAAGAGGCAAACTGCATTTTGTTACTGTAAATCAACTACTAAATAAACAAAACTCATTTTTTAAAAAATATGGTTCAGATTTTAAAAGGAGAGGAAAAGCAAGCAAAAAACCAGAGAAAGTACAATGGATGGAATTACTGCATGTGCAACGTTGAAAAGGTAAAGTGGTGGCCATACTTGACATCACAAGTCTTATGCAATAGTCTGAAATATGTCTATGTAAATTGTGGCATATAAAGTTTTTAAAAAAGTACTTCCATTATTTACTCAAACAACTACTTTTTAAAAAAATATGTTAACTTTCCCCAATTTTTTAAATAAAATGCCACACTGTAACTCCACACTTTATTTTTTTTTTAAAGCTAGACTTGGGTGATACACATACAAAAACTTTCCTATAAAACCACTATCCAAAGGAAGAGGATTCCTGCCATGCTAAACAGGCAACAGACAAAGCAGTTTTATTGCTTTTTCCTAGGAAAAGTGGGGAAAAGAGGCAGAAAAAGAAGAAGCCTACATCCAAGTACATTACATATCCAACTTCAACATACTGTGGCCATTACCTACACTTAAATAGGGCTGGCTAATAAACTAAGTTATACAACAGAATAGCAAATTGGGGTTGTTGTTAAAAATATTTGTTGGTTGCAGTGGCTTGGAAGAATGTTTATAAAACATTCCATTATCAATGCTGAAAGTATCCTGACAGTCAATGCCACATCAAATAGTTTTAATGGGGATCTTTTCACATGAAAAAAGGTTATCTACATTTAACAGCATATCTATTTTAAAAACTGGGGGGAACACCCTTTTTTGGATAGTAATTCAGCCTTAATAGTATATGATAGGACACTTAATTCCAGGGCACAGTCAAGACCGACCTGAACATACTTAGCTGGTTAAACTAACCCTAATCACTAGTAATTACATGGCAGGGGACCTGCTGAGGTAATTGAGAAGTCCACAGTCGGCACGCTGTACACTTGTCGTCCTTCCTGTTTCAAAGCAAACTGCCTTTTTCTTCTTTGGATTAACTTAAACTTTTGAAACATATACAACCGAGAGATTTGAAATTACTGCTTTTCAAGAACATTTAAAATCAGAGCTTAAGAGTCAAATTAGGTGACAAGAGGATCTTGGGACCACATTACACAAAACTTACATTGTAATTTATGCAGCACAGGCAAATCCATAGCACATGCAAGGGAAGCTCCACTATCCATTACAAACCGGGTCTCTAACATAAAATCATTCCCAGTATAGCTCAATTATTGCACAGACATCCATGAACTGCAAATAGAGGCTGCTCTTAAACTGCACCAATGGCAACATTTTTAGTTTGAATAAATCATGTCAACACACTGGAAAAAATCTATCGATTCTGAAATGGAGTCACAAACCACAGTCATCTAGTTCCATGAGGAACTTAAACTGGCAATTTGTAGAATTTGTGTATAACATCTGATTATATACATTTCTGGTGGTAGGTAATCAAATGGAAAAAACAACCAAAAATACAACTTATCTGAAAAGATAATTTCATAACAAGTAAACTTCAAAAGAATACAGTTTTTCTCTATTTGCACTGAAATTTGCAAAACTGTAAATCTCAAAAATCAACTAGAGGCTAAATGACAATTGCCACTTGTGTACAGGGATCCTGCATATAGTTGAGTTAAATAGTTCAATTTAAGAAATCTAAAAAGATAAATGCAAATGTTGACAAGATTGCAGCTTTCAGATAATATTAGAAAGCCAGTTATAAAATATTCTATGAAGTACAGAAAACAAAATTTCTAGATACTAAGGAAACTCTGCAATTCAAGATCCACGGAGCCTGTATTGCAAATTGAGATACTAGAAAATGTCATGTACAATCACATTAAATTCTCATCCAGTATTAAGCACCTTGTATTACACTTCCCTACTGGTATTCAGTGATTTTCTCAAAATGCCAGTTATAAGTGCATGCACTAAAATTTTGTGGGATTTTGTGAGAAAGTAAACACACTGGCAGTGTAGATTGTTTGCAGAATAATCCACAGTGGGCCGAAGAGGTAATTGATGCTCACCATAAATTGCTCTTGCCTTATCCTCCAGCTGGTAGTCCAGTGTTCTCTTTGTGCTCCCATCATCTCTTTGTGCTCCCCTTTTCATTCATCACTACATGTGTTTTTTTAAAAATAGGAACTTCTAAAGAGTGCAGCTGGGGGTCTTTTTTATTCCTTTTGGCCACTGAAAATTGTGCAGCTGGGTTTGTCTTACATTTTTATTACCTTTGTTGGTATTCCACAGGTTCACATTTATAGCAGTCCAACACAAGTAGTCTTCTTGTGTCAATGGTCTCACACTTTTCAGCTGTCAAAGAGGAAAGTTCAGGAAGTAATAAACATGGAAATTGAAACGGCAAGATTTCATAAAGGCTAATTTGCCTACAGTTTACAGCTGTCAACTGCCACACTATCAGCTGAAAATGAAAAGGGAAAAAATGGAGAAAGTAGGTGCACCCAAAGGGGGTGAAGACAGTATCACATCTGTAGCAATGTAATCCTTCAAGTGTTGAACTAACAGTGCTCACCATTTGTTCACCATTTCAACACTTGCCAGTTCCAGAAAGGGAAAATAACTCCCCAAGTGTTTGGAACATTTGGTGGTATGGTCACAGCAGACCCGTGGCAGTTTAAAAACGTTATTTATTTTTTGACTAATGAAATAGGCAAAAATATAATCACTGGTGAGTGGAAGAGAAAAATATGAAAATTTAATGGCTTGGAAGCAAAGTGCTGTTACTGCACGTGCAGAAATTTCTCTTCCATTCACCTCTCAACTGTTAAATTTGCATATATTTTCCAGTTCAACTAAATGTGCCTATATGTCCAACAGGTTTTGTTTGGACACCTTAGAGGTGGCAGAAGAGGAATCCAGTGAGGCACCATGACCAGTGGTACTTCTACCTATCCCCCTCTTACAGGGCTCTATTCATTCAGTGCCATTCAGCTGTTACTTTCTTTAGAACTGCCAGGGATATGCAGAAACCGTAATAGTAAGCCCCTCCAAGAAGGTGGGTGTAGTGCTAACTCCTCTTTCTTCCCAAGCTGGAAATAGTAAAGGAGAGTGAGAACTGTCTCTTCAAAGCTTAAAATTCAGGTAATTACATTGCCAAGAGGGTGATAATATTGCCAGCCCCATTTGGTGCATCTAATTTCACTTTTTCTTTTGAATGACACCAGGCAAATGTGTGCAAATTAGCTTATGTGTAATCTTGTCTTGTCCATCTGATACCTACTCCACTTACCACGTTCCATTTGACAGTTAAAATTTACAAAGTAAAGCCTACTTGTATCAGACAGCTGTAACTGTACACATGCACAAATGTGAAAGACAAAAATAACAATAAACAGTTCCACAGTTTTCTGTGTCCATTTTTTAAGGTGTCAAATCAGTGACCATCACTTAAAGTGTTGCTTAGGAACAATGGAGGGACTTACACTGGTCGCAGCACAGATGAGACTGCAAAGAATGGCAAGGTTTTCTGCAGGGTAGCTCAGTAGCTAATCCCCACAACCCATTATGAATTAGTTCTTCTGGGTTTGGACGACATGACAACCCATCATGGAACAAAAATGTCCTAGAACAATCCACACTGCAAGAGGCAGATTGCGTTCAAATAACATGACAGCCTACTGTGGCTAGTTACCCATCACAATGGACTGTCTTGTTGTATGAACTCAGTCATTAACATAGGGAACAAATTCTCAGTTCATATATGTCATTGCCTCACTTTAGTATAGAAAGTAATATTCAGACTGGGCTGCACTACTTATCTATACATGAGAATTTCCTAGTTCTATGACTCCATCACTGGATTTTAAGTGGAAGGTCAGGTGATTCCCACGTATTAAAAAATGATAGAGCCCAGTCTGAATGTTGTCTGTGACTTTCTTCCACTGCTATTTTATTGACTTTCCAACAAAGAAAATAATGTTTGACCAGGTCATTTATTAGGGCAACTATTGACTATATTCAAACCCACTATATTCAAATACAGGCAATTTAAAATTACTTCATTTGCTAGACCAAACTTTTGAAAACACTTGAAAGATCCCAGAATTCTGTAGGATCCATCCACTTTATAAGCAGTGTTAAAGATTATCTAATAAAGTATATCAAAGCCATAAATATCTTTAATCATTTGGAACGATTACATCCTTTCTACACTTTTCATCTGTCTGCATAGAGAAAATGAAAACAAGCATTTGTATTAAAATTCTCTAGAGCATTACTGGGACAATACATTGTGCAATTGAAACTACTAATATCTAGTGTATGGATCAATTACATTTGATCTTTATACACTATGAAGGCTTGACCATGACGAATTACTCTGTTTCATAGCATACATTTTGGTCACCTCAGTGTGGTCTAATGTTTAAAAAAAACTGGCACAACAATAAAATATTTTGTACAGGGGCTTGAAATTGTGTTATTTGGTGCTATTTAAACAAACCAGGCCAAGCATATAAGGCATTTTACCTGTTCAACACTGAATTACAATGATGCAGAGACACTTCTGTTCTCAATATTGCCATCAAGGCAGAACTGATGAACTTCTTTGCATGCAGATTATCATAATGGGTACAGGCCCATTTTCATTATCTATCCTGAAGTCACTTGTCTGATACACTGGTCCATGAACGTTTTCTATTTTAAGGATGGACAAGTGATTCAGGTTCAGTGGGCTTGTTTTCCTTTTGTTAGACATTTCATTTAAGCTGCTTCTGAAAAAAAAAACCCTCTTGAATAGCTCTAACAAAATAATATAGAACTTCAGACTATGAATAGTTTTAGAAATAGAGAACATATTACAAATCCACTCTTGATTAGGAACATTAGTAAGAATACATATTAGCTTAAAAACAGAGCAGCAAATGTTGCTGTCCGAAATGATTTACAGTACCATTATTTACAAATAAGACAGAGTGAATACAGGAAATTTTACACATTTGGTAGTTGACAAAGTTACTGCTTTCTGATAGCAAACTATCAGAAACTGTTATAAGGGAAGACGGGACAGTCACCAGTTATTAAGTTTATAATATTATTCTGAGTACTAAAATCTATATAACCAGTATTGCAGCCAACATCCTGCCTTTTCAGGGGAGAAAAATTGGATTAACAAATTCCAAGAGGATATTCACTTAAGTGTTCTGTGGATAGGACTTTCATACAGCACCATGAACTCTACTGAAAAGCATTAATTGCAACCAGACTTAATGAAGCACATATGAAGAACTCGCACTCCTGCATTCTCCAATTCAAAATTATTTAATGATCATTACAGTATTTCTATACAAGGTCAGTAAAAGAAAGCGGAACCTAGCTATTAGACCCAACACAGAATATGATACTTGCAATACGATTTAGATGAGACGATGAATAAAAACTATCCAATTCACACTTAGGGTTGCATTGAAGAGAATGCTGAGGAAGGTGTCTTGCAGTTTAAACTGCAGTCCAGTACGAGTATGAAACATGACTGCCTTGGTCCAGTCTTGCAGAAATGGTTATTAAGTTGTGACAAGGGTTCACTGTTTGTACAAATGTTGTCATATAAAAACTTGTTTATCAACATTCATCCCACACCTCTGTATCTGAGAAATGAGGGAGTGAAAAAAGAAAATGTAAATCAAACACTTTAAAAAAACCAAACACAAAATCAACAGAGGTTGAAAGCTTTTTTCCCCTTTTGACAAGAATGTTTCTGTACAAATGCTTTTTGCAATCTAATACTGTCTGAATACTATCAGCTTCAATAAGATGGCCACTGAAGGCAAGATAATATTCCAGGAACACTTAAATATGTTTCTTTCTTTTTACAATAGTTTAGGTCCGTTTAAATCAGGTTACTTTATATGCACTGGTCTTTCATCTGATTTTAGACGTTTTCTGCGTGGCTGTATAAAATCTTCATCGGAGTCATCTGTTATTTCAGCATCGTCCTCTTCTTGCTCAAATTCAGGTAAAGGCTGGAAGGTCCTGTCTGGGTAGATCTCTGTAAGTTTATCTTCAAAGTATAATGCAACTGCCTTCCCTGCCTGTGCTACTTCTGAATCAGCCTGCAAAGTAAAGAGATAGTAACGTTCACCCATTGGTAATGCACATCCCTTCAGCAAGTGTGCATGGTCTGAAACGCTTACCTTCAAATTAATCTCTTGTGTTTCTGCATAAACTTGAACAACTTTCATCATCTAAAAAGGATACCAGAGTCAAAAAAAAGGAAATTATAATCCCTTCTAAAGTTATGCGACTGCACAGGACTGGATGACTAAAGTCAGCCATACCAAATTTACTTCTAAAATTCACTGATGTAGAGGTGGCTCTCTTCATAAGCCCTAATACTCAGAAGCGTGGTCTGTGAACCTTAATCAGTATGACACTGTTGCAGAAACTGATACCATGCACAGAAGCACAATATTATTAAACTCAAAGCAAACCTAGGTGAGAGCTGTGTCATAAATACTCAGGTGGTCATTCTTCCATCAGGCTCTAAGTAATTTCTACTTGAAGAAAGAGCAAACTGGCCCAGTGTTTTCCTGTTACGTCTTTTTTCACTTTGAAACTTCAATTAAAACTCAATTCAATTAAACTTCAATTAAAACTTTAAAACTTCAATTATACATGGACTGTAGACTTGCTTATGTTATAAATATACCTACTGCTACAATTAAAATGCTTCACTGCTTTTGCTTCCTACTCTGTGGTTGCATCTATCCATCCTTACAAAGAGTAAAAATGTATTTGTTACAGTAAAGGTATGATCTCTTCCTTTAAAAATCAGTATGTTATAAGAAGTGAAGCTCTTCCATCTCTTTTTTTTTTGGGGGGGAGGGTGTTATTTCTGCAAATGTTCTCTTTTGGTAATGTGCATTTTCAAATGCATACTTGTGAACACGAATGAAAGTCTCCTACATCCTTCCAAAATAAATCTAATTTGAAGAGTGGACAATGGAACAAAAGACTGATAATCCATCAAACACAAACAGAATAGATTTAACAAATCTGCTCATCTTTAGTTGTGATTCATTTTTTACTAGGCTTATATCCTAAAAACAAGAATAGGCTACTTAATGTGTACCTATTAATATGTAACTGTTCCAAAAATGTCTTGAAGAGGAAATAAGTGCTATTTTCAAGCACGTAAAAACAAGTAAAACTAAAACTGAAGAGCACCATCAAGATTTGTTCCATGCTCTTCACATCCATAAACAGTGTACAATCACCCAGAATACGCTGTAAAGCTGCAATCCTATGTATTGCATACTTATTTCTGTTTAGGACAATGGAACTTGCTTCTGCAGAAACATGTATAGGATTGAGCTATAAATTTGGTTTCTCAAGAGATTGTTTTAATATTTGAAACTATGGATTAGACTTAATCAGGACCAACATATGTCCAGTATAGAAGCAAGATTAAGTCTAGATTCAAACCTATATTTAAAAAGCCTGGAGTCAGAAGATCTTCCACAACCATTTAAGCATTTGCCTGTCCACTTCAGTATATTATTCTTTTATATTCATTAAGCAAAGTCTCAGGTTTAATAATTAATTTCAAGGTTCATGTATAACAAATATGCATCAAACACTACAGTACCTCAGAAGGGTTTATACCCATGTTGAGTATAAGGGGTTTCACACTTTTGCCACATTGTCTCTCTTTCGCTTTGGATTACATGCCTGACATTCACAAACACAAACATTTGAGTTTAAGTGAACTATGTTATTTGAATTGACATGAAGCAGTAAAATGGATTTTCAGGTCTTGAACTTAGAAAGTTGGGAGAGTTCTCAGTAAGTAACCAAGCCCTGAACACTTCCTGGCAGAAAGAAGGCTTTTCAAACTATTTGGTTTTATCTTGATTAAAGCAAATGCAAAAGATTAAGGGAAACCTTGCTGGATCAGACAATGGATCCACCCGGTCTTGCTTCAAACAATGGCATCAGGTGCTAGCAGAATGCTGTAATCAGGGCATAGAGGCAAAAGTCCTCTGAAACTCTATATCCTTCAAATCTGAACCCAGAAATATACTGCTGCTGAATATGGCGGCTCCATTTACCTACCATGGCCGGTGGCCATTAACAGCCTTCAAATTTGTCTGAACAGAATGCATTTACTCAACACAGCCACTTTTTCTGAACTATTTACAGTTCACTTAACAAATGTTGTAGGCGCACACCTAATATTGTGGACATATTATGCATTTAAATAATAAATTAAGTTACTCTCAATTTCTCCCCACTGCTTTTAATGTGCTTCACATATAACTTGCAATAGGATGGTAGACTTCAAGCTTGTCAAATGCGCTTTATTTTTTACCTTGGATCTCAAGATCCACCAGCCAGAGTTGGCTTCAAAAGACTTAGAATGAAAGAATTCTCATCCCAGGGATTTATTTTCAATAGAAAATTGATCATCACTCACAGACTTTGCCTCGAGTGCCAAAAAAATATTCTCATCTGCTTATCCCAGGTTTTCTTCATTTCAGTAGTATAAAGGGGGAAGCCGATTGGTCATTTATTTTTAAACAAGTGAGAGCCACAGATCTTTGCCTATTTTCTACAAATCTGTCATTAGAACAAGGTCTACCTTCTGTCCATTCGTGACATACTATTCTCTCAAGCAATCTGTTGGGGCTTTTTGTGGCTGCTTAGTTCACAAGTTAGTTTCATGGAGAGGTTTACTCCATGAAAAAACAAGTTATATAATTAGATAATACATACAGATACAGTCTTCCCCAGGCAGCCATATTCTGAGCCAATCCAGTAACAATAACATGACATTAGTGGCATTATCAGGATTATGTTTACAATTCCATACACTGGGGAGGTACACAAAAGCCTCACCATGTTCAGTAGTAAGGCACATATACTGTAATGCAATAGTCACCAGTCACGTATCTGCTCCCCACCACAAAAAGGTGAACAGATCATATGACCAGGCATTTATGTGCCTAGAATACAGTTCATATTAAAGATTCAGTGCACAGTGGAAGAATGTGAATCTAGGGCTCGGTTCCCATTCCATGTATATGTATAGAGCTCTATATAAAACTAGCTATAGGACCACATCATTTTCACACACAAAATGTGGAAACAACTGCAATTAAGTATTGTGTACAAGTGCAAAATGGGACTCTCATATTAAAACAGAAGAATTCTGCAGAATGAAAGTTAACGTACTTCATTAAACCTTTCACAGTTCTTGAAGATCAGCCGAACATCTGCCACAAAATCATCAGGTATCTGGTAGTGCTGGGAATGTTTCTTTTGCAATTTCTTTTTTACAGTAGATAAATCCATTGGTTTCTTTATTATTTTATAGTAGTTTGGTATCTGTTCAGAAAAGATGTAGTGTACAAATCAAATTAAAGATTATGAATATTATCAAAAATTTCATCTATGCACTACAGACAGTTCCTGGGTTATGAATCAGTTCCACTTTTGAGAAAACAGAAATTTGTATTTAAATTGAATTTGTATGCAAGTCAGATCATGTCCTCCACATTCATGGAGATTAGGGGTGCAGGACCCACATTAAAGTGGAAAAAGAATCCCTCACCCCACCCCGAGCCAAACTCACCAGTGCCTTCTTTTTGCAGCAAGGAAATGCCAGAGAGATGTCCCTCTCTGGATGGACAGGGCAGGAAGGCATGCTTTGGAGGCCTCCCTTCCTCTATGGTGATGCTTTGGAGATTTTCCCTCTCTCCCCTTTCCCTCTCCCTCTCCCACATGCTGCTTACAATTTTCCACAGTAATTTAAAGAAAAAATTAATAGACTTTATGGCAATTTGTAAGTATGGGTTGTTTGTAACTCAGACATTCATTATTTGGGAACCGCCAGTAGTGAAAAATCCCTACTTTTATGGTCAACAGTCATTCTCTGAAGTCTTTAGATAAGGCAGAATTGGTGCTTCTTAATGGACCTCCAATCCTAGAGGAATTTCTATTATCTTTTGCCAGAAGTTGGACGAGTGGAATGGAAGGTGCGGGCCGAATGGCTACACACCACACAAAGGCAGAAACTCATTGCCAACTGAGTGGCATTGTGGGAATACCACGCACTATATAAAATCAGGAACTCAGCTAGTACTGGAAGAAGCAATTGCTTTTCTCAATGCTGACTGAGCCTCTCTGTTTACAATGACAGCATGCAGGAAAGCAAACCTAGGCAAGGCAATGATATCATGCAACCCACTGAGGTTTGATACAGCAAATCCCCTCTACCATTTCAAGTTCTGTACTCTTGTTATTAACAGCACAAGAGCTATGAAATTCTGGTTATTCCAAATTCAATGTTAACATCTTCAAGGTAATATGCATCCAGTCACTCACCGAGGCTGGGACAGGCTCTTGGAATTCAATGCTCAGCTCATGGCAATACAAGTAAAGAAGGAGGCGCTCACATTTCTTGCAGGGGGGAAAAAGACTCCAGTCAATGTTGTTTCATTCTGTTTCATATTTATATTTCAATGTTCATAAAAATAAGAACAAGATTTCCCAAGTCTAACTCAGTCCGACACTCTGTGGTATGCCCATCAATGTCAGAAAAGCTACTTGTTGCTATTGCAACCTATGGCTAAGATTCAAAAAGCTATGCAACTAATTCCTTCTGAACGAGGAGTCTTTGCACTTTAAACAATAATTTTACATGCCACAAAGTTAAAGTAAGTCCATTACAGGAGCTCACAAGTTCAACATGACTGAAATTTAACTATGTCATGCATCTAAATGCAGAAATACCCTTTCTAGCTAAGAGTCTTAAGTGTGCAATCCTGTGTACCTTTAGACAGGAAACATACCTAGAACTCCCATAATCCCCCATTTACAGCATGGGTGACTAGGGAATGCTCAGAGTTGTAGAATATTTTTCTGTACTTTTTCTGCCTAAACATGGACAGGATTGCATCTTGATAGGCTCATCATCCATGGATGTATCTAATTCTTTTAAAAAGCCACATATACTATTGACCACTACCATACCCAGAACAACACATTCCAAGTATCAATATTATTTGTATTCTTGCCTTTCCACAAACTTTAGAAAGGCAAAAATAATAATATGAATATTAGAAACATGTAATAAAGCTTTTAAAAATTCACATGTTCATTTTATTCTAACAATCAAAATGATCTGATTTATTGATATCAAATTTCAGTTCATCTGAAAATAATTCAAATTAAATTGCTGTTTAAAACTAGTCAAGCCTTGTCACAGTGGCATGTGCACCCATCATTCAAGGCAGAATTACTGCAGAGATATAATGAGGAATGGAACTGAACATGAGAGAAAGGAAACATGCAGGGAGTGAGAGCAGCTGGAGAATGAAGGGTAAAAAAGGGGGAAGGAAAACAGCTTGTTTTAAGGAGACAAGCAAGCATTTTCATTTTTAGAAGTTAACTAGCAGAATAGACAACTTGATTTCAACACAAAATAAAGCTGTCCACCTAGCACTGTTTAAACTATTCAATATGCTTATTTATGTAAATGAAAGTTTGATCTAAGTCAGGAGAACAGCAACAGAAAACCAGAAGCATTTTGTTAAATGGTGTTCAGTACATACAGTATTGGAAACCTACCCTTTGGTCCACTGGACTCAAACCTTGTGCAGTTTTCCCCTTCTTACTATGCTGCAAGTTGTCACAGTCATATTCTACTTCAGGTTTGCAAAGATCACGACAAAATGTACATATCCACTCTCCACTAGAAAAAGAAAAGATAACCAGTCCAGAAATCCAGGCAAAATATAATACCATGGCCCCTAAAAATCTGCATGTAGAAAATCCAAAGCAGAATAGAATTTCACAATTCTTCTGAGCTGTGCCTTTTTCCAGGCAGAATTTAGTTCATCTCCCCCGTAATAAAGCAAGAAATATGGAAATAAGACATTCAAAACACAGAGGTGGGTACAATAACTGAGCCTCATGGGAAGCTAAGAGATTCCATTCCCTATGTAATGACAGACTTAAGATTCACTAGATTTGGAAATTACAAAGAATAGATTACTATATTCTGTTAACAGTCAAGTCTCCTAATGAAATTGTATTAATTATTTTACAGGAGCTATGACTTTCTACACTTGCAGCCTTATTCTGGCATGATGGAAGACATGTACATGGTCTGACAGAAGATGGTTGATACTAGATTCTTTCATTACAAATAATTTATGCCAAATACACAAATTATTATACAAATAATCCCTACTGTGTAAACTGTGTATTATCTTACCTTGGAAAACTTAGAAGAGTGGGTACATGGCATGTGAGGTGGAAAACTTTGGGACACTTTTCGCAACACAACAGGTCTCCTCCATTTTGGCACACAGCACACCAGTCTTCATTAGGATCATCATCCTTGTTGTTGCCTTCTCCTCCAGTCCTAGCTGATCGGTGCATGAGGCTCCGCACTGGAGACTTGCCATTTACAAGACCATGTCCAGACTGTTTACAGCTTTCACTCAAGTCTGCTGGTTCAGTTTTTACATGGTTTTCTATACTTCCCAGTGCTTCTAGTTCACTTTCCAGATGCAAGTTTGTAGAAAGTGGCGGCGTCAAGCTGCTCTCAGGACTGCTAAGCTAAAATAAAGGCACATGGTGAAAAGCTAAGAGAAATTCCCTTGTATGGAGAATACGCTGCTTCTTATAATTTGCCATCCCTGAGATCCTTGCTTCTTAGCCAAAACTTATTTTGTTCACTGCAGTAAAGACAACCTCCATCTGGCCTGTCCATCCCATAGCAATGAGGCTCTTCTCCCACTTGAATCTACTCTGTCAAAATGTTATAGCCTGAGTTTTTCTGCCATAGCTGATTGGAATGTATTGCAAATATTCTATGATAACAATAAGGGACCCGTTTGGAATGGAGCACATGGCTAGAAAGCAAGCAGTGCAGGCTCTATCCACTCCAATTTTCGTTCTTCTCCTTATTTTTATGTTTTGATTGTTTTCTGTTGGTAACTGAAGCATAGCTGGACAAGTGAACATGAGGACACAGGCAAAATGCACCTTAACCCATCCTTCTAAAAGCCCAGTATGGACGCATCTGAATTTACCTGTATCATAAATTTAGGCATACTTTTCTTAGTATACACAGATCCAACTGAATGTAGGTATTCCATTCTAAGGAACATATTTTCTGTCAAGATAGACTCAAGAAAAGCAAGCATACCTGTCAGATGGAATGTATGTGAAATAGTTCTAGCACTATAAAAGAACTTTGTGGAACACACATTACTGATTTTCTAGAGCAGCCATCTTGAAATGTAAGGAGTCACTGATATGTTTATTTCTGAGGTACCAAAGACTTAGTTTTCACAGGAGGTGGCACCCATCTGAAAACAGTTTCCAAGGGTTCTGATACAGTAAATCTGGCCTGATATGAACATCTCCAAACAGCTTCCCCATATGAAAATTGTTACTGAAATAACTGCATGTTTGCTTTAACTCCCCCTGCAAAAAAATGTCCTTAGTTCTTCTTGTTTAGTTATCTTGTTACAAAATAGTGCAACATACCATGCAGGCACTCCTCCTGCCATCTTCTGTTTTTTCTTGCTTAACTGGTCCTGAGAAACTGCATACCTCTTCCTCTGTGCCTGGCTCTTGCTTAACTTTCACATGCTCAGGTTTGAAACTAATATTGTTCTTCTCAACAGTTCTGCCTGATGAGCCACAGCTAAAAAGCACACATAGTAAATAAGTTTTAACAGTTGTCAAAATAGCCCACTGCCAGAATTCTGAGAATTAAACATCCCTTGTAATGCTGGGAAAAGTACTATGCCTATAAGTGTAGGAAGCACATGGTTTTGAGGCATCATAACTAAGTTTCATGTTAAAGATCCAGAAATGGCTTTATAGTCGAGATTGAGGTTTTTCATTAAAAATCCATTCTGAGATGTAAAAGTGTCCACATTAGAAATAATTAAGTTATCATCATCATGAGAAATGAAGGTCTTTGTTTCCAATTCTCTCTCTTTTCTCTGGGTAAACAGGTTGGTTGTGGGTTGAAATAAATTCAAGTACTGGAGTGACCCTTTCATTCATCTGGTGTGTTGGTTTTAAAATCAACTGTTGACTTCCTAATGTTAGAAGAGCAGGATTTTTCTTACCTCTGAAGAAGCCATGCTAATTCCTTCTATCAAGCCAATCTTCTAGATAATGAATAATGAGGTCTATTATAAGTTTACTCATGCAGCAAATGCTTGAGTAAATTTGTAAGTTAAGCTTTCCAGAATAAAGACAATATGAAAATACTGTAATTGTTTACAATGCAAGTTCCGTGCACACCCATAATTTTCCTGCATTGTTTAGTCCTCTGTAAATCAGAGTAAACAGTGAAGTCAACCAACATGACAGTACAAGAAGCAACTCACTGTACAATAATCTTTGCTTTCTATAAAGAGGTTGACACGCATTAGTAGCAAAGGAACATACATGGCCTGCAGGTAGATTCGGTGGCCAGGAACACCTATCAGCTTAAGCTGATATACCAGCTGCAACCATATCAGGACAGACAGGACCTGGCAACAGATATCCATGCACTGGTAATCTCTTGCCTGGATTACTGCAATATGCTCTAAGTGGCGCTTCCCTTGAAGATGGTCTACAAACTTCATTTGGTCCAGAATAGGGTGGCCAGATTGTTAATGATGACAGGCAGGCACAATCATATAAAGCCAGTCTACTATCTTCGGTGGCTTCTAGTTGAGGTCCAGGCCTAATTCAAGTATTTAAAGCTCTAAACAGTTTGTGGCCCAGGTATCTAAAGAAGCACCTCTTCCAGTACATGCCTACCCAGCACCTTAGATCGGAATTTGAGGCCCTTCTGAAGGAACCCCCTCCTCAGCAAATAAGGAGAGTGATTACACAAAGGGCCTTTTCTGCAGTGGACCCTGACTTTGGCACAAGCTCCCCAGAGAGGTTTTCCTGGCACCTTCTTTACAGCCTTTTAGGCACCAGGTGAAAACATTTTTATTTCGATGGTATTTTAATTGTTAACTTGTTCTAAGTAATATTTTAACTGTGGATACGCAATTATTGTAGCTCTTCCTATAGTGTTTTAATTCCTTTATTGGTAATTGTTGTTTTGTATTTTTATCTTTATTTTATTCTATGTTGCAGCTTATTTTGCTTTTTTTTTCTGTTGCAACCTGTCCAGAGAGCCTTATGGCTAATAGGCCAGGCTAGAAATTAATTAATTAAATGGTAATGATGGGGAACAGGGGTGATAAACACAGAGCACAAAGGAATACAAGACTGGAGGAAGCAGGGCACTGGATCATGTGTCTGACCTTCACAAGGCTACACTAGTAAGCAAGAGATAAGAGCCTTTTCAGATGCATTGCTAAAAAAGACATTTGCACCCTTCTCCTCACTCTTGTATAGTCACAAGAAGAGATCAGAAGCATTTTCTTCCCCTTTTAATGCAACTTTTGTGTTGTACCTGAATTCAGAGGATCTTTGATTACTTTAAGTATAGTTTATTCAAAAAAGCAAGGATTAAACAAAATTGTTTGTTGGAACCAACAAGGATTTCAACTCACCAGAATTTCTCTGAGTTCAGAGCTCTTGTTTAAAAGGAGGAGGAGAACCATCTCTTTCTTCTGGACAATGCAGAGGAAAGAGCAAGGGTGCATAAAAGCTCAATACAGCATTAAACAATATGGTAAGTTTAGTGTAAGTGGGGCTTTGCAAAAGGACCACTCATTTTAAATGAAATAAATCTTCTGCAGTTAACCTGTGCACAGCAGATCTGATGTTCTGATCATGCCTGAACTATTTTGCTGGTTTGACTTTTGGTTCAAAATTCACAAGATTGGGTTCTGCAGCTGAAGCTAAGCAGTGCATGAGATTGATTAACAGAGTAAAATATTAGAATTCCAAGCATATACTTTATTAAACATTAACCTTGCACTGCCCCCAACCCCCAGTTTCAGTGTTCACTGAACCTGTAGAGTAGGGGTACAAAAAGGACAGTCCATGGACCACAAACAGCCTGCCTTGTGGCACTGCCTGAAGTCTCCCTTGCTAGTGCACTAACAAGAAAATCACACATGTAAGTGCAACGCATGCAGGTGTAGCCCCCTGGTACCGCATGTGTTCACACCTACTGTAGGAGAGAAGTGGAACTGAACGTTCAGAGTAAAATGTCCTTCCATACAGCCTAAGTTTCAAGTGAGCAAAATGACAGACTACAGAATGTCTTTACTCCTTTTATGATGCAGAATCAATATAGAAGCTTTCACTGACATTTCCATGCTTTCTGGTCCATAAATGAAATTGTGAACACCTTAAAATTTCTCTAAAACTGGAATTTTATGTCCAATAGTACACACTGAGTTCTCTAAACTTCACCTGCAGCTAGTTTTGAGACCATTCAACTCACCTGCCTCTACTGCCAGTGCTGGAGGTACTCGGTGGCCTCACAGGGGTGTGGGAATTGGATAAACCTAAAGGAGTATAAACCAGCAATTAGATCAGTAGCTATGCAATTTGCATTCTATGATACAGGTAGCATACTGGCAATGAAGTAAAACCTTTCACTTCAGTAAGTACATTAAAGTTAGTCTCACATCTTTTCTGTGTAAGAATCCTAGAACATATTTCATTTGGTAAACATCCAATAGGTTCCAACACTTAAGTGCTTCCTAATTCTATTTCATTTTATTTGAATACAGTCATCATAATCATTCAACAAATGAAAACCAAGCTAAATATTATTATTGGAAGCAATGTAAACTATGCTAAGAGTTATTCAATACAGTTAATGACATTTATATACAATACATTGAAAGGAAATGTTAATTAATTTAAGCGTACAATGAAAATAACCAAACACAGGTGAAAAGATAAAAGGGTACAGAGCAAGCTGGATTGAAATATACTAAGTATATTTTAGCACTCTTATTTGTCCAGGTACATAGAAAGGCTAAAGCTCTCAGGTTGCTCCATCCTGTCACTCCCACAATTTTACACTTACTTCCAACATTCCACAATAATGAAACGCATAACCGAGTGATGCTAGAGTAAATTTTTCTAGTTTATACTGACTACTGAATTTTGGAGAGGGTGTTTCAAATCCACCTTAGCATCCAATATTAACCAGCAGCAAGAATGATGAAGGGGGATTTTTTATATCACAGAATTATTTGAGGTGTTATTCAATTCCATACCATCTACAGCACTTATACCCTTTTTATGATTTACTGTTGGATACTGTAATAGTAATTTTTGGCGTTTATACAATTGGGAAACCTAGAAATATTGATGGATGGTGAGTGAATTTAAATACCTTTTTCCCCTTATATAGATGACAATAGTCAAGAGATATTAGTTGCTGGAGTGCACTTAAAAATAGGATGCTGTTGAGCTCATAAGCTATAATAATATTTTACTTTATTTTTGGTCTAGATCTTTATTTCTGTGCAGAAATCATGTTACCCTTTCAACTGAGCTCTAGGCTACAGTTGTTTCACAGCCCATTAATTTACAAGTGATTATCTAAAGGGGGAATTTATCTACTCCTACTGAAAATTATTTCTATTCAGTTGAATCAAGTAATGCTTGTGTAAACAGGTATACAGAAACAAAACAAAAAAAGAAATTCTCACCAACATCACTGGATGACACTGAAGACTTGAAAAGGTTTCTTGAAACCTTTAATTTCATATGACATCTCTAGAGAGTTCAATTATTACAGTGGGTTCTTTTAAACAGAAAATTAAGATATCCACTGCCTTTTTCCAGCTTACCTGATGAGCCTGGAGATAGTGCTGAGGGCCCAGGTGAGGGATTCATACTGCCTATAGGCTGAGGGGGTAGATGGCTGCCTGCGATATATCTACTTAACAAATTATCTAAGTTACTGGAACCAGCATCTTCCAGCTGAAATAAAGGAGGACAGCCAAACTGTGATTCTGCTGAGTCTAAATGCAACATGTTAGAAGTGACAGCTTGGGAATCATCTGTATTTTCACTGAAGGATATTACAGTACTAGCACTGAGTCATATAATGGGGGAAAACGAACAGATGAATATTCAATTTTGCCATAGATTTGTTTGATCAATTCTTGCCTGCATGATCAACCGCCTAGGCAATGGCAGTGATAGAGAGGAACAGCAAACATTAGCATAGAATTACCATAGCTCTTGCAAAAATCCTAAATTCAATGACTAGCTTTTTAATCAATTAAGAAGCAAGTAGGTTTCATACTCTGTCACTTGTAAGTGCAGAGTATAGGTATATGTCAAAGAGAACTCTGACATCCAGCAGAGCTTCCACTCCCTCTTTACAATCCTCATTCCTCACTCTGTAGTTCTTATTCACTTAATTGCCCAGATTCATGTTCTCTATATAAGTTTTAATTATCTATTTCAAATACAGGACATGCAACCTAAACAGAGAAACTAAATAGCAAGTATTAAAAGGGCTTCCAGGTTTGCTAGAAAAATGAAGCATATGCCTTTTTTTAAAAGCTGTAAAGGTAATGGACAAAAATTGTTTTAAGGCAACTGATATGTCTTTAATAAAAGAAATATTCTGTAAACATGCCATCTTAATTACATCTACACCTTAAAAATTTCAATACCTAAGCTTCAATAAATGAGAAGTTCAAGGACAGGCCAGGAATGTAAAGATGCAATCCAATTAAGTGTATAATCCTACACAGAAAATAGGTCTACAACTCCCAACACACCCCAACCAGCATAGCTGGCAACTCAACAAAATATGCTTAAGGGGACTGGGGAAGATCTTGGGATGGTGCAAGGACAGAAGAGGAAGAGAAAGTGTAGTTACTTAAGTGAAAGTCCACTCATTCTATGCGGGATTCAACCCTAAGTAAGGTGCCAAAAATAATTAACACCAAAGTAAGAAAAAGCAAGATTCTCACTCATTATATTGAAACTGAACAATATGATAGTTTTGCATGCATTCTTTTAAAGAATACAGAGTTAGCACAATAAAGAGGTTTTTCCCCTCTTTTAAGAATTAAAGGCTTTTTTCTTTCAAGAATAAAGAAAAGCTAATTTACACTTAGGTTTCCAGAGAGTACAATATTACTATCCTTTCATCAATAGAAAACACAACTACTGTGGGCAAACTTTTTTTTTAATACCATCATAACAAGAACACACCAGTAAGACAGAATGGTCTGGAATATTATCATTTGTCCAGTGAGCTTTATGACTGGACAAGGTCTACAAGGTCTACAATCAGAAGATGGACAGTCACTCCTTATTTAAAATAATCCATGTGGGAAGTCCCTTTCCTGTACATTTTTAACTCCATATAAATAAGAATACAAAATAAGGTTAAAGTGAAAAATTAGCTTTTACTTCACTTTATGCCATTTACTAACCTGTATGGGAGGAATATCTGGCAAAGAAGGTAGATTCTCTGGGTTGGTTACTGAGGGAATAAGCTCTATTGCAGCTACAGATGGGCTTGTTGGGCCACGGTTAGCATTAGCCATGGTAGCCGTTGTAGGACTTGTTGGATTGATAGTATTATTATGAACTGAAACTACTGGGAAGGGTCCTGCATGTCCTGGGTTTGAATGCTGACAAGGGAAAGGAAAGAAAAGGAAAAGATAAAATTGATCATTATGACAGTGAGCAGAAAGTTGTTTGTTTGTTTTTAACATACAAAACTCCAAACTTTTAAAATCAACTCCTATAACTAACCATTATTTTTGGGAGGGTCTTTCACTCCCAACAATCCTAATTTTTAACATTCAACTACATTCTGCATTTCATCTGTTACATCTTTTGAATATCAAAATGTATACAGTACTTTGAAGACTATTTTTTTCTGTTCAGATTTTAGCTTATTATGAGCTTCTTCTCCTAATCATAATTAAGCCAATACTGTTATAATTGCATACTGATTGGTCAGACAATGAAGATAGAAAAAACAAATTTTAGTTGTAAGTATATTTCATTAGAAGCCCTATGAGCTTAAAAACTCTGCATGACATTAATAAAATGTAAGATTTATCACATGATTCATATTATCTGATTCCTTAAAGCCAGTAAAACATAAGTAAAAATAGGTGATTGTTTTCAAAGTGTTTTGGTTAAATATATTAATATAACTGAAACTGAATAATATGCCTAAAATAAAAAGTGGGAAACAAAATGTGCACACAGCATATACTTGTCTTTGTAAGTGTGGCTGCATCATGGAGTACTGGGGCCCGTTGTGGCGCGGTATCCCTGGGAGACGTGCAGCGTTCTGAGCCATTCTCATCTGGTGGGCTTGAAAAGCACCGCAATTCATACCCCTCTGCATGGTCTGCATACTTATCAACCTTGGAGGCTACAAAACATTATGTATTTAAAACTTTTGCTCTGAGAAGCAATTCCTTTCCTAAGAGCATGCATTTTTTTTTCCTTCCAAGATAGCAAGAAATCTTTCATTTCACTGAGTAAAACAACAAATATTGCCTTGCATAATCTTACAATATAGTCAGAGGTCTAATTTAGTGCCTATAATGAGTGTGGACAGTCTAAAAACTTGCCTGTTGCTGCAGCATCTGTGGACTTGCCTGGCGAGTGATCTGCCCTGCAGGCTGCCCCATCCTCATCTGTTGTAATTGTTGGTGTTTTTGTTGTGCGAACACCTGTTGTTGCATATGCTGGAGTCGAAGCTGTGCAAGATTAATTTGCCCTGGAGGTTTGCTGATGTGGTTTGTTCCGGGAGGAACCTGTCCCACCACTACATTAGGAGTGTAACCTTGGGTTGGCTTATTTTCTATAACAAGATTACCTAAACAACAGGAGAGAGAATTGGTTAAGTACAAAGCCTTAACCTTAACTAAATGTAAACAATATAAATAATTTATATTTTGCATACACTTCACAGAATGGCATGAAGTCACAAAAATATGTAACAAAAATACTTTTAATCATGAGGTAAAGAGAATTATAATTATCCTCATTCCTGACAGGCTTTCCATAAAATATTGATTCCAATGTATTCATATCTTACTCTGATTTTGAGGTTCCTAGGAGCATAAGATTAATCTCAGTGAAACGTTCTTGCAGAAAAATATGTGCACCAACACAATTAAATTTCCTATTAACATTGTTATATAACTTTAGAAGGAAGAGTCTGAACATTCACACTAATTATATCCTGGGTATGATAGGTAAATTGCTTTAACCATACAATGTTATTGTGATCCTTCTAGAAGAGAGATTGGAAAGATAAAAGAATGGCAGAAAAGTGCTAAAATATAACTCTGTAACATTTACATCCAAACAATTTGATAGCAACTGTTATATACTAGGGGCTCCAAGGTGTTTTCAGTATTTCTTATATAATTCCTGCAACAAGCACATTAACCAAATACTTTTGCTAATGCTAGAATGCTAAAGGACACTTATCTTTATTTTTACTATTAGTTTATCACTCTTCAATTTTACTTTGCTTCTGTACAGAAAATCACAGATGACAGACATTTCTTGTTCCCAGAGCATTTCCACTGCAATAATCATTTAATAAAGTCTGTTAAGACTACCATGTAATAATTTTATAATTTATATAACTGCCTACTGGGGTTATACACATTTTGTTAAATTTGTTCTTATCTTTGATCTGTCATCCACTCATTGGGAATTGATTTTTAAAGACAGAATTTATTTCAAATGCATACACTAATTCATGTTAGCTGTTCCACATTGGTACTGACGCATACTTGTGCACATGGACTAATCCACATTAGTTACTACATATTTCTACTAATGTGCAGTGACTAATGCATTGATTCAACTGTGCATTAATGAAATGGACATTTGGTTTACACAAATGCACAATATCCAAAATAGATTAGTGCATTTGCACAAGAGCACACTGCTGCTTATGTGAATTTGAATCAATACCCCTCGCCCAAATTTTAAAAATGTGCCCAGGTCTGCAGGACTCAGAAAAAAGCTGATCCACTGATAAATCCACAGTTCAGATTCACAGAAATCCAAACTCCTTTGAATCCAAAGTGATTTCTCTGACATCTCTACTGATATCATACGATGACTCAGTCTACAGATATTCCTTAATTCTAGTAGTTCTCACATAGATCCACTTTCTGTTTTGGCGTCAATTAAAGCTGAACATGAACCCCTTGTCCAGTGCTGTGACAAGGACTGACTTACTGCTATGTCAAGTAATTCACTACTGAACATCAAACACCCATTTGCCTATTCTGGCTGTCAGATTAAACTGAGAGGTTCTTAAAAGAACAGAAGCAAGAAATGTTGTAACTTGTAAATAAGACATATATAACTCAATCTTATGACTATTCCTGTTTCTAGAATCATTAGGGCAAGGGAAGGATTGCAAAATCACTATTTTACATTTTTAAGTATTTCAGTCTGGATTCAAAACAATACTAAACGTTTCCAAATCTAAGCAGAGACGCCCTTACTGCAGGACAAGTCACTTTTAAAACTCAAGGAATCTTCCAAATGGCATCTGATATAGCACAAACAACTGAACTTAGTGGGGGCTATGCTGTGGTCACTGGAGGCAGTTGTACATGAGCTGCAAATGCCAAATAGGCTCCAGTACTTTGGAAAATTGATTTTGCAGAAATCCACAAGGCATATACTGCATAAAGCATTGTACTCCTGTCACCGAAACTGAAGCTAAATGTGTAATTATAAGCTTAGTGGAAGTTGTATGTACAGCACAGACTTGTTCAGTTTGTACATAAAATACTAGCTGGGCTATACAACATGTTAATAAAAATATTGCTTTCTATCCAGCATTCATGAATAATTAATAATCCAGAATTAAGGCAGTAAGCCTTGCAGACCTGTTATCTTCTCCTTTTTTATCGAATTATTTTTTTAAAAATTCTTGTATCTCAATAGACTTAACTCTGAAATCTATTTTCCTCTACATGTTTTGCAATTGTTAATTGATCCATAATTTGTCTATGAAGAAATCTGAATTCTGAGATTCACATGTTTACATAGGCAAGATCCTTCCCTTTCTGCCATGTTTACAAGCCAACAGTTTTTTGCTTTGTTCCTTTATTAATAAGCAATCTTCTAAAAGTCTAATAATTTCCTCAACGTTGTTATAGAGCAATACTATGGCCCCTAAACATTGTCTGGGATGCCATAGAATAATTTAGATTCCCTGCTTCAAGCTTTGATCTCAGTGCTGGGAATCCATGCTCCCTCTTCCCCATTTCCATCTATTGTGGAGAAAACCACACTGGCTTCATCTCCAGGGTCAAACAAATTGAGGGAGGAAAAGGGAGTGTTCTGAGGAAGAGACTGGGGATGTCAGGAGACTAACTGCCAGGATACGATGTATTCTGACAGCATTCCAGCATCCTTCCCTCCCCCTTCAGAAGCACCTCAGCTAGGCAGTCAAAACTGAACATCTAATTAAAATGCTGATTGGAAGGTATGGATCATCTCTGCAAGTCTGCCCATTCTACACTGGATGCTCATAAGCCTGAACCTGAGGACTTACAAGCATCAAGGAGGCAACCCTTAACTGCCCAATCTACAATTATGCACATTTTCTAAACTGTTTGTACCTTATATAAACAGTAATTATTAACCAATATGTTATTTAGGTTTTCTTGCATCACCACTTGACCTAGTATCCTGTACATCTCATACTATAACCTTTCAAGAAGTCAGAGATAATCTGTTTCCTTTTGAAAAACCTTTTTCATTAAATGGAAAAAATAAAAAGTCCTTTTTGGAATATTTTCTTCAAAGTCAGTGAGTGTCAATGAACTGTAGCAGCTTTTGTCGTAATGGAAGAACCCTTTGAACAGTTTATTGTGCTTAAGCATTTGCCAATAACACCCATGGTTTTCCTAGCTTCAAAGTTTTCCTAGCAATGATTCTAACACTGTGTTCTAATCATATGCAATTGTTAAAGTCTGTACTCAAAATTCAAAACAAGATTTTTATTCTTTGTTCCCTCTAGGATTCCTCTGAAAAGATTTTTCTTATGTAACGGTTTAAATCTTCAGTTCCAATACCTTTTTCAGTTCCCAATGTATGGCCCCAATCCAAAGGGCTGCATGGTGAACTCTGCATGTGTAGTGGGGGGTTCCGGTACCTCCCTCTTTCCAGAAGCATCCCCTCATACTGCCCAACAAGCTGCCCTGAAGCTTGGGGAACCTCGAAAGTGTCCTCCAACAGAGTAAAAGGAGTTGCTGCTGGAGAAGAACACGGGAGAAACCTGGTATGGACATGTAAGCCTTGGTACACATCTAAGAGGCTTTTTAAGCTAATTTGGTCAGCATCCTATGTGGATTACTACTTAGCCAACATATAAATTCTTTCAGCGGGCTCTAACTTTATAGTCATTTATAGTTACTATGGAGAAGAATATAAATTTAACACATGGAAAGAGCGGACTTGATACAAAAACATGATCTATATTGTTGGGATTAGCCTGTTATTGACTCTTCCCTTTCTAATATATGCCAAAAGTCAGATCCATGGGAGAAGACAGAATGTTAATTTGCCCTTGACATTTGTCTCTCATTTGAAGTTAGAGCTTTCTCCATACCAAAGAGCACCCACACCGTGTTCGATCACTGCTTTAGCGAAGATATCCTGTTTTTGCTCATTCTCATTTTTCTACTGTAAGAAAGGATTCCAAATCTGAATAGGTTAAAAGCCTCTACCCTAAGAATATCTAACACTTACTACTGAAAGACCTGGAATGCTTTCAGCCCATTTTTAGTAAGCTTCAGTGTTATCCGTGCTGCTGAGACTATATGGCTTCAATTTCTTTGTATTCCCTTCTATCTTTAAACAAGTAAACAATGTATTATCTAAGCTGCAGTCCGACGTACTCACAACCAACCTACCCTCCTCTGGATGCCTGAATGAGGTTACTGGGTTGACTCCAGATTATTTTCCTCTTCAAGTGAACACCTTGATGATAGACTGTCACTTTCCAGTGTCCTCATTACCAGAGAGGTAGGGGAAGGGAGTGACTATCAGAGCATGTGGAAACACTTGTCAGAGTAACCTCACAAATAATAAGCACTCTTCATTTTTCCTCCTCCATCACTGTCATACCCCCTACACTTCCTGCCAGCTCACCACCCCTCCTCCCTTGCTACTGTCACAATGCTCTCCTGAAAGCTTCCTCCAGCTATTTAAAACCTGGAAAAGCAACCCAAGTATTCAAGCCTGTGCACTGCTGCCAATTAAGGAAGATCATGACAGAGAATTACTGCAATGACAGAAGCACATGCAAAGGGCAAGCAAAACAGATAGTTTTAGAAGAGACATCCAGGTAGTTGCTACATATGTATCAAAGTCACTGTTATGGAACTAACCATCTACACAAGCAAATAGATGACATTTCATGTGATTGAGAGGTCACACATCCCTCCCTCTTTGCAGGCCCTCATGCCCTCTGAACAACTGCTCTGGAGAGCTGCCCAAAGAAGGACTTTTGAAAGGATCAGGGGAGCTACTACTGGAATGGACCCCCCTCATTCCCAGTACAAACGGATCCCAACCTCTACCACCAATCTGAATGGCAGTCTACAAAAAACACTATTACATGCCACTTTTGACAGAGAGTATTGTTGCACATTCAAGTCAGGTTTCAGAGAAACAGAACACCCTCTCACCTAAGTTGGCTACATTCTTTGCCCAGAATGTGGGATCACAATGGAAGCGTATTGCTCCATTAGCAGCTGGGACAGGATCACATCGTGCTTTTAAAATATGTCGCAGCTGGAACGTGATCTGTGAGAAGACAAACACTCTCAAATTAGTGATGACATTACAGAAAGAGTCAACAAGAGCCAGACATAATAAAATGGAAATTAGCAGGGAGTGGATGGCATTGGGCAAATCACTCTCTCTCATCCTAAGCTACCTTAAAGGATTGCTACAAAGCTAAAACCCACAGAGACTTTGGGAGAATTACAGGTTATATCACAGGAAAATTAATGCACATACTGCTAGAAGATACAAATATGAGCAGATAGCACTGAAGAACAAATAGAGTTCACAGCCATATTTCAAAACAATCTTAACAGTTGATGGTACAAATTGAGTTAAATATACACATGACCTTCATTGTACCCACATACAAATGATTATATACAACACCTACAGTAAGTTAGCGTTTAACTGTTCTATAACCACAAAAAATAAATCATGCTGTTTGAAATGGAAAACAGCTAATCCTAAGGTAAAACTTGCAAAATAGTTTCAAATTTTACATCTGAATAAATGACTGAATTACCCATTAAGGCAATAAGGAGGCATGGGAGGTACAATACTTTCTTCTTATCTTGAGTTACTGTTTGGGTGCTAAATCAACACTCAGAAATCCCAGCAAGTGAATGTTTCTACAGGTCATCCTCTGATGCATAAAGAGGAAGTTTTTCCCTTGCATACCTGATAACCATTTAATTAATAAATACTTTTAACACATTTTTTCATTTGAGAATAGTTAAGCAAGATCATTTCTTCTATGCCTACAGTTACTGCTGAAATTTTAGTTGCCTGTTTTGGTTTTATTAGTTTTCCTTATCCTTGTCAACAGTGTTGCTGGAAGGCAAATTCTAAAGTCCATTGTAAAAAATTTAATAGAACAGTATGGTTCTTCTCCTTGCACTAAAATCAAGGCATAAAAACTACTAAGAGTTAAGCACAAGAAATTTACACCAACTGCTGATAAGCCAATTTAGTAAGCAGTGATATGGGTACTATTTCAGAGTCCTACATGAACTGGTATCTCATATAAGGTGCAATCCTATTAAAGACAGAAAAAAGTTCTCAAACTCTCAGCATTCCCCAGTCACCCTATCTAGGCTAGGGAATGTGTGGAATTAGTGAAGATTTTAAATTGTCTGCACATGCACAAAATTTCACACTTATTTGACTCATATTTAGAAAAACACTAATTTTTACACTATATGTTAATTTTCTGTGTTGCGAGCTGTAGTCAACACCAAACTAGGGTAAATAGTATTAGATGTTTGGCTGTTCCATTAGTACTTGTGTAAATAATTGCACAACTAGTGCAACCAATACCTAGTTCAATAAAGTTGTAATGAGCTAATGGTTTGCAGAAGCAAAACCTGAACTATACTTGGATTTGGTTTCATGCCATTACAGTTTTAGTTATGTTTCTGTTTACATATACCAGACTGTATAACAACTTTTGTTCTGACTTGCAGCCATTAGATAATTTTTTCATTTGACTTTTGGTTTGGAAGATTCTATGTACTCTGATTTTAAATCAATTCCTATTTACCAATAGCTACATCAAAAAGAAAGTATGTGCAAAATTGAGTATTTTATAGGGTTTTTGTAATATTTTAGTCATGTGTAAAAAAGTTAATTACCACATTGAAATTGCCCCTACTTGAGTGGCATTATATCCATTCTTTATCATAAAGCAATGTGTTTTTTTAAAAAACTAGAAAAAGTCCATTAAAAATCTAGCAGATGAAAATGTTCTGGCTCACATAACTGATAGTGAGCAAGACAAACAGTAACATGACTGTAGAGTTTCAACTGATGCCCAAACAAGTGAAATGTATTGTTTCAAACAGCACCTAAATCCATTAACTTGATAAAGAAATCAATGATCTGTACCTCAGCTGACCAATATGAAGCCTGGAAACCACCAGAAACAATCTGGCCTAACATCAACTTCTGTACAGATATGGGAACAGGTCATAGTCCAAACCATGCAGCCACTACTAGAAAGACACAGACACACCCCACTTCAGCATTCAGTATCCATAAAAGGCTAACACCAACTACTGTGATGTTATATCCTATCTTTAATGATGTATACATGTTGGGACCAGCTGATTCATAGAAATAAGATCCTCAATTTTATAGTAACTTCAATATCATTTGCCATAAGCATACTATGAAAACATTTGTGAAAAAATGAAGAGTTGTTGCACTGGTTGTATGTTATTGAAAAAATTAAGAGTAAGAAAGATATGGGTTCTCATAATGCATAACCATCTCTCATTAATGCAAGAATAAGATCTGCCTTAAATTAGACTGAAAACTTTTCTTACCAGTCGCTTGCTGTAGAGCAATGCAGTGCTGCTGCCACTTGCAATGGCCCAATTTGTAAAGTTCATCACATGTTTCACCTGCCTTGATAGTCCACTGATATCATTCTGCTGTTGTATTAGCTTCATCTGTCGCTCCTTTGTCACAGTCTGAATAGAAAAAGTGCACATATATTGAATAAATTTTTAAAACTGCCAACAGCAAGTATTATAACAAACAGCTGGACAATGTTTGGCATAAGATATTGACTGAGAAAACAATACTAACCCATCGTGTAACCCTTTTTATTTGAATGTTATTTTCAGAATCAACGATTTTAGAAGTTAATGATCGCTTTTTTAAAATGTGATTTATTCATTTTTAACTTGATTGTATTTTTATCAATTGTATTTATTATTACTATGTACTGTTTACTGTATTATCAAATGTTTTTATTATTGTTGTTGTTTTTAAGCTTGTAAACCATCCTGAGATGCTCTTGTGAATGAAGGGATGTAAATGTTATAAATATATAAATAGTATATAGCAATTTTATTTTAAAATAATCTCAAGTAAATCAGACTTTTCAACATTATATAGCAAGGAAAATCATCTTAAAAGTTATTTGCAAATTAATTGAAATTATCCACTTATGGTTACTGAAGGCATTTATTTCTAAGATAAATATTTCTTTAAGATTGACATTGCAACTGCAATCATATGAAGTTATCATATTACCATTCTTTATTTATATCTACTTTTTGTCACAGTATTCAAGTTCAAAGAGTTCCACATCTATGCACTAATAAGTCTTATGCCTAATTAGCTTCATCATATGCTTTCAAACCAGACCCTTCTTAATGTTCTATTTCAACATGACAGTTCAATTTTTTTAAGACAAGTTGGTAATGGAATTCAATGGCACTGTAAGAGTTTTTGATTTCTTTCAACAGCAGATATGGACTCCAGACCACATCACCATCTGCTTTTGAAAATCATCTCTATTTCAAAAACAGTTTGCCATGTGTTACAGGGGACTACTTAAAACACACACACATACGCACAAAGCCCGATTCACAGTTGCTCAGTTCTTTGAACCCTGCCAGAAGAATGACAGCTGTTAAAGACTAATTCCCAGCTCTAAAAGCTAACAGATGTCTGAACGAAGGAGAGCACGACTGTCAAGTTTCTGATAACAAAATTGGCTATACTGTTTGTTGCTAACAAACCACTGCTCCCCCTCATCATCCTCACTTTTGAATTATACTCATAGATTCACCATTTTATATTCTAAATTTACACTGTACACTCACTGAAGACATGCTCAAAACATTTTACCCCAGAAGTCAAAATTCAAACATGCTGAGTAGGTTCAAATACTCAGGAAAGGAAAAGAAGCCACAGTGTCATCTTTTCCCTATTCTGTGCAAACTGGTCATATCATGTCATTCACAGCCACTGAAGGTTGATGGTGGCACAGGTGGTTTCCAACCCACCCCTGAACTTTAGAAGAAGCCACAAGCTACAGGGTGGGTTGGAAACCAAACTTGTTGCCAAACATGCAAGGTTCAGGAGATTGGCAACCATCCCAGTGCAGGTAATTATGGAAATAAGGTAATACATGACCAAAATGTATGAGGTGAGAAGCACCACAGTAGCTTCTTTTCCTTCCCCAATTGTGTGAACCCAGTCATTACAGCACTGCAATTATTTTCGAAATTGCACTGTAGTTAGTTATACTGCATAAATGCTTATTTGAAGCAAGTTGTTAAAGTTAGTACTGGATCTGCATTTTTGAAAGAGTTTGGGTGGAATTCTGAGTGCCCGCTGCATGGCAATGAACAAGCTGGCAACTCTTAAGGTTAAAGGAGTTGTCAGCAACGTGGAGAACAAGTCTCTGTAAGTTTAGACAGAGCATACTAGGAGTAATAGCTATCAAACAAAACATTTAAGCTATCAAACCACATTATTCTAGACTGAACAAATAATAATATGCATAATCTTTATTTTTAAATACATAAATTTTGTAACAATTTTGTTATGTGTTTTATTAATTTTATATACACAGAATCATGGTGTTGGAAGGGACCCCCACCAACACATCTTTCAAAAGACTGTGTTGCTACAATATAACAATAATCCATGCTATTTCTCAGCAAGAACTCTTTGTAGCCTTGCTAAAGTCCATGCATTTACTATTTTACTATATGCTTAAAGAGAAATAATGTTGCTTTTCTTTCCTAAGGTAAATTTTATTAATGGGCTTCTGGACACTCTTCAGAAGGCAAACCCTCCATTAAAAAGAGGATAATCTGGTTTTAATTATGTTAGAAGACTTATGGATCTGAAGAGCAGAACAAGCACCAGAAGAAGATTTCAAATAAAACACAGGGCACTCAACACAGGGTACAATTTTAATGAGACACCACGGGGAAAGCAGTATAATTAAAAGTGAAGTGGCTTCTGTAGTTTCTCCCTTATTTATTCTGGCATGAATGTTTACAAGCTTTGTAAAAGCACTTTAGGTAGGAACTGCCACATTCAACAAGGGAGGCAGCAGCCTTTTTCATGCAACACTAAACCATAGCTTAACAAGCACCAGTAAGCTTCAAGCTCAGATGCATCCCTTCTTGCCTCTCTCCCTCTCTTTGGCATGGCCATGATAACATTGGAAGCATCTGCTTCTAATCCAAATATGGTTACTTGTTTCAACCAACTGCATAAACTCTGATTAGGTTAAACAATTGCTTATTAACAAACCAAGATTAGGAACCAGCTTGATTCTCACTTGTCTGAACAAGCCATAGTTTAAACTAACCAAAGGTCCCCTGTATCTAGATGCAGTAAGGTATTCTGGTTAGTTAACAAGCAGGAATGGATATAGCAGAAGGAGAGGGAAAGAGGTATGTCTGAGATTTGCTCTTACATGTAATGCTAACCCATGCTTAGTGAACAGACCAATGATTTCATAATGGACAAGCCATATGCATGACAAGATCACACCAGGATTCATGTAAAACATTTTGGGTTTTGTCTACATTTAACTGTACCTCAAGTTGCTGTAAGAGAGATTTTCCCTTTTTATTGATTTCATTAATGAGGGTAAAAATAGCCACTTTGATTTCTTGTTCTACTCGTTTGTTTGTTTCATTTACTTCTTTTATCCTAAAAAAGAGAAATTTGTTATGTCAGGCAGTAACATTAAAACAGCTCCAAAATGATGTTTTCCCTCATGTGAAAACTCAAACTGTTACATACACAGATGCAGAATTACAAGGTTACATACTCAACTTAAGTAAAAAACAAAAAAACAAAAACAAAAAAAAAAGAAACCATAATTTCCATTTCAATTTTGGAAGAAACACTTTCAAAAATCCCCTTTACAAGATATTGTAGAAACTTTCTTCTGTATTTAACAACCCTTTTGCATTTGCTAGATATTTATATTTCATATGTTATGAAATGTTAAGCCTACTGCTCTTGTTCTTTTTGATAAAACTAAGTCAAACGAAATTGGTTACTTGTAGAAGCACTCTGCTATTGCAGCTATGCAATTTGCTAATCCACCTTCCTTCCTGAAGCATGTAGCCATTTCTTTTTCTGTAAGCACCTGCCTACACTGCTAGAGCAGGCAGAGCAATGTGCTATGGTCCCTGGGATAATAGAAAACACTTCAGTATTGTAGCAACAACACCATAGTATGCTCATTGTGACTTTAATCTAGGATATCCAGGAAGATTGCTTTAGGGTTTTTGCCTGTTACTTCCCTGGGTATAGGGAAGGTTCCCCCTGCCAGTTATGATGTGCAATGCTCCAACATTGTGCTAGCTAATTTGCTTCACCTCTACCACTCTATTATAATACAAGAGGTAAGGAGAGGAAAGAAGGGATATATGAGACAGGACACATACTTTCATTGCTTTAAGTGAGTAGACAAAGGAGCACATACATTGTCTTTTCATTCAGACATTAGACCCTTCCATCCTGATTCAGAGAAAATGCCACAGCAGAAGCCCCATGCACGCAAACAAACATTACCTATGCCATCATTTGTGCACAGTTTCTACTTAGCTATCCATATGGAAGAAGACCTTAAGAGATAGCCATGCACTGTCACATTGCTGGATGCATGCTACAGCCTGCCCCACAACAGGCTCTTTGTATAGGTTACAGCAAATCCAGTTGTAGAAGCATTGATTTGGTCTATTAAATCAGGGTAAGTAGCTACCATTGTCACTAATTGTTCTACTTGCAAGGAATATCATCAAAGGCTGGTATTTTAGTAGTTCTGTAAACCAGCTCAATTAGATTAAAATATGCATTTCTGAGGAAAAATGGACCACTACCTACCTATTTTGCACTTGAGTAGCTGCAAAGTTAACATAATTCTTCTTCTCAAGGAGTTTGGCCAACAGATTCTCAATAGCACCCTTTTGATTCTGAAATGCTTCTTCCAAAAACTGATACCTTCCCAAATCAGATAACACACAATTAATGATGAAGTAGCAGCACTGTAGTAAAATGATCACCTGGAAGTAAACCTATTTATTACATTTGTTTATTTATCACATTTATATCCTGCATTTTTCCTCTTGCAAACTTAGGTTTTCTAATGAACTCAGTATCTCTACAAATTACTACCACCAGTAATCCATCTTCACAGATGGATGTATTATTAGTGATTCTAAACAGTGGTGTAATAATTCCACAATTAGAACACATTTTATTTATAACATGCTCTATCTATCAAGCCTGTTACACACCTCAAAGCATACTTCCAAAAGTCTGTCTGACATGAAACATTTTTAAATAATTGATTAGTATTCTGTACAAACAGTTCATCAACATAGAATCTGAAATCTAGGATCTTTTGGAGACTGGTAAGTATAGAGATGTCAGCAGTTATTCTTTCTGAATATACATCTGGGAATGCTAGGTAAGAACTACAGGCACATATTTTTCTTTTATCACCTGGACCCACATCTCACTCATGTACTGGTCGAGATTACAACCTATGTAAGACAGGAATCTAAGCTACTGCACTGTTCTATCACATGGCAGGAAGACTGTGACTGGTGTCTTCATTTCAATAAACCAGACCCAGTTTGTTGAATAAATACTAGAAGCAAGCATCTAATTCTTGACTGAGTGAGATAACTCAGTAAAGTACCTTTCTATTTGTACAGTGAAAGGCATTCACTGATTTCCTTTCCTGATCTTTATCTCTCTACATCTATGACTTTGCTAGTTTCAAGTTTATCTGTATGCAGGTGAATTGTTGCATCCAGGCCTATGTCTTCAACATGATTCTTCCACAAAGCAGAATTAATGTCATAAAGGTATCCATTTCTTCAAACTATTATGGAAGCTAAAACAAGTACTAGTCAAATGTTGCTTATCAACAAGCACTACAATTATATGCATGTTTACTCAAATGAACACTCAAAGTGTTCAATGAGACTTACTCCCAGTTAGTGTGTTCAGGATAGCAGCCTAAAGAAATGTATATTTTAATAAGTAAATTTAAATATGTTTGCACATTCAAATTTTTATACCATTATTAACTACTCATTCACTTTCCAAAGATTACCACCATGTCTCTGCAAATCTGCAGCTATGTCAATTGTCCATGTGGGTTCTATGTGTCAGTATAGTAAAATTATCAAAATCAATTAAAAACAACAGGAAATACGCTTACATTCTTTCTGTCATTTCTATTTTTAGTGCCTACATCACACATGGGCCTAAATTTAATTATGATAGTTATCCCTGCTAGTGCAGTGGGAATTTCTCTTCCCCACTACAGCCTCCTACTCACACCATGAATCTACTCCGCAGAGCTCCCTAGCCCTCTGGAGCAGATTTGGTAGCATGCAGAAAGCTGAAAAAGGAAAGTCAATCTATCAGGAAGCTGAAAAGGGAAACTCAATCTACCATAATAGTAGAATCTATTATGTTGGCAGAAGGACACCATAGAATACAACTAATACAAAGCTTTCTACATGCATATCATGTCAAGATAAGAGGAATTTACATTACATTTTTGCAGTAGTTCATTAATATTCACATGAGAAATCACTGCCAAAAATGATATACATTTAGAAAAGTCATTATGTACAGATGCTACCAAAAATGCAAACACAGCAAGACAAATAGCCTATGAAAACATTTTTCTATGCATCCATAAAATTTTGTTTCATATGAGAGTGCCCCATCACTCTTAAATATTGAAGTTCATTGTTGTACTAACATACAGACTGAGTTCATGTAATAGCCCAGTGGTGTCCAGACTTGCTCAATGGAAGAAATACATACAGTAAATGTCATATGTTTTTCAAATTGCAAGCTGGCATCGGCAGGCAACAGCCGCAAGCAGGCACCTTAGGGGGGGTGGGAGTGGCAGGTTCCCACAGCAGCAAGCCGCAAAATAAAAACTCAAAGAGCTACATGTGGCTCCTGAGCCTCAGTTTGGCCACCCCTGTAATAGTATTGCTAATAGCCAAATAGTACTGCTAATATCAATAAAAGGTTAGCATGTAACTGCATTCATCAATTCTTGGATTTCAAATTTCTTCCAGCAATTTCATTTAACTATTCAGAGGACAGCATGAAAGGTTTGATAATAGACCATCATTCTGATTTGCAATTATCCATATATTTCACTCAGTTCATCAGAACTAGGCAACAAACCACCAACTCATGATAAAGCTATTGTAAGCATCTCTTACTTTCAGAAATGCAATGTTTAATCTATTAATAATGTTTGATCAAATCAGAAATGCATTTCGGATTAATCTGAAAAGACATTCTCTTCTGTCTCCCCCACTCACCCTCACAATGTACTGGAAATGATGCAACTCCTCAGACAGTGCCTGCTGCATGCAAGATGTCAACTATGTTTTCTCTCCAAAATATTGCTTTATTAATATGAAAACATTAATAGACTTCATCATTTAAAAGTCACATAACTGATTAATATTTCTTTAATCATATGACAACTCTATTAATTTTACTTGACACTAAAACCCACTATGGAAGTTTCTTTGCCACAAGAAGTAAAACAAGATTTCTTTTTAAATAGCACATCATTTCAGGATTGTTTTTCAAAACTGTTGTAGGAAAAGATGGCATAGGAAAGATGGGTATCTTTACCTATGTTCTTTGTGTTCCAATAACTGACAATCTCTGCATGTCAGCCTGTCACAGGTTTCACAGAAAAGTTTTAACTGTTCTTGTTTATGCACAGGACAGAAAACAGGACGTTGACCAGATGCTCCAACAGCCTCTGCATAAAGAGAGAGACAGAATTTTCATTTTAACATAAAAATTGAGTCCATCTATTTCTTTGGTTTATTAGTGATACGTATGCTGCTTAATATAATAAATCCTAAAGCAGTTCCCATATAGTCTACAAGCTAATATTGCTAGAGAAGAGTCTACAAGCTCATGGACAGCCAACTCAATGGTATATTTTTCCCTGATACAGAAAATTGACTAGGAACAGGGAACAGTACTCAATGAGAGGCTGTTCCCCCACCAATTATCTATGCACTTTCTAATTCAGTTCTGCCTCTCCTGCTGATTCTGTTTTGGAAGCAAGACCCACCATTTGTACAATGGAGATTTAATGCTAGAGGAAGCCCCAAAATGAGCAAGCCCTGCTGACCTTTCCATTCCAGGAATAAACATTTCTGCTCAATTCGATTGGCTCCAGGAAGCATTAAATGCCTCTTGAGCAAGTTGGTGGGCACTGCTTTCAGAACTCGTAGATTGCAAAGAAATAGATGGGGTGCAACAGAATCAATGGGAGCATAGTACCTTACTGGATACTGCCAGAGTTCTCCCTTTTTATTGGGACAGTGCTGTGCTCTACCTCCCAGTCAGTGGAATAGGGTCATCAGAGTAAGATGGTTACTCCTCTCAGCAAACAAACAGAATAGCGTTGCCAAAGACATAGCATTTGTCTAATATTGTATTTGCTGAACTCCTTCCCACAGCACAATCCTATATCCCTAATTTCTTCTGGGATTGAACTAAAGAGAAGCTTAGCAACAATAACACCAGCAAAAGTTGTCTTCTATTTCAGGAATGCTTGTGAATGGGGACTCTACAACAAGAAGGTATTAATAATATGCCTGGAATTCTCTTTCAGGTGCATTCAAATATGCCATCTTTACTTCTACTTTCTCAAAACAATTGTGCCTTGACCTACCCTTTGACTACTGTTCTAATTCCTTTCTACCTTGAGGCCATAAACTCTTGGAGAATGCCACTTATTCACAACTGTCTCAACTCTCTTCCTTCCACCTCTTTTCTCAGCCCCTACACAATCTGACTTCCACCTGCTGAAGTTGACAAAAGCAGCCGAAAAGTCACTGTACTTATTACTAAATCCAAATGTTTTATGGTAATATCTGTTTCCTCCGGGTAAGTCTTGTTTTTGTTTCATTAAAATAGAGGTGGACAGAAGCTTGAACAGGATTTCTGATTTTTATTTTTATAGCAACAGAAACAGACATATAAACACCACCCTAAACCATACTGCTAAAATAATGAAATCTTGGGACAACTAGGAGTGGATGCTTCTGTGTAACAAATACCAAAGTCCAGAATTCTTTAATTCTAAGAGCATTTTTTTGCATCAGCATGTAGCTCGTAGGTTCTAGCAAAAAGCAGTTAAGTTTGCCCAATGTAATGTAATACCTTAATAATAATAAAAACATAACATATTTTAAGATACGTATCATACATATTGTATATGAAAAACATTATAGTACTTATTTATGTACTATTATTCAAGGTACCTACTATTAGAACAACAATGACAATAAAATGACTGGTCCCTGCTCTGATAAAAATACTATTTCAATTTTGATACTTTGGAAGTAAATGAACAAAGAAAAAGAAAGCAACAGAAAAATTGGAAGAAAGTGTGTTCAGTCCAGTTCTACATTGTACTTATTGCTTTTCTACTACTTACTAAGCATAGCAATGGGAAGAAACAATCCGGGTTTTAACCAAATCTGGTTAAGCATTAAATTGCTCTTTGCATTGCAGTCCATGTAGCTTTACAATTCATTTATATGTCTAGAATTGCAGTAGACGCTATCCCCTTCGACCCACAGAAGACCCTGACCTTATTTGCACATAATGGTAGTTCCCAGGGTTAATGGAGGAATTGCCATGGCTGAGTGGGAGCAAGCTACCTCCTGTGTACTTGTAACTCCTACTTTCAGTCAGGAAACCAGAAACCCATTCTTGAGTTGGCAATGTGATGCCTGAACCCAGAACTCTGGGTTACTTGGGGGATAAACAATCCAGAGAAAACGCAAGAGTTGCCCATGTTCTGGATCCAAGTTGTTGATTGGAAGAGGAGGCTAGAACACAGAAAGCAGCAACCTCACTCATTTCATACAGACTTTTCCAGAAGTTCTCTGCCTTCATAGAGAATAACAATGCCAACATTACATTAAGGAAATAAGTATTTGTGGGGAAACCTATTGCCAATTATAAAATACTTGTGATTAGAAAACTGGTATATTTCACAAATATTTGAGATTTATTTTGTTTTCCAGTCAGAATCAAGTGTTCCAGTACCCTTAAGGCAATTCTCTATAGGCACAGACACTACTGTGAAGTGTCTGCCTGTCTCTCATCAAACTGTGGCTGAACTTAGCCCTTCACACAGTATCTTAAAGCCAACAGATATATTCAGAATTCTCAAATCCAAGGTATCCAGGTGTTACATTTAGTAGAAAGGATGCCAGAATTGTACAATAGACTATGCCACAATCCCAGCTTGTCTTAGAAGATACGGATCGCTCAGATACATTCCAATCCAGATTCAGATTTCAGGATGGAAGTAACACTAAACTTGTTATTGGTGTTATAATGCTCTCAGTCCTTCCTGGAGATTGATCCCAGAAGGTGATACTGGGAGGTATCTGTTGCACTCTATGGGCAATGGCTTATGATATGGCTCAGTGTTCCAAGTTGTTAAAAACACAGAGAACACTTACATAAAAGCACTAGGGGTAGTTATTCAGTGGATTAGGCAGGTATGGGAATGATATCATCAATATGTAGATGACATACAGCTCTATTTCTCTTTCACTTAGTAATCCTAGATGGTGGTGAGGGCAAATTAATTGAAATGTAATCCATCTAATATCAAAATGTTGTGGGTTGAGAAGCTGGCAAAACTGGGTGGAAGTATTCAACCAAACCTGAATTGGGTTAAACTTCCCTGCTAAGTTCATACTGCTGAGCAGACGCTGACTGAGACCAGGAGGTCAAAATATTTTGTAGCAGCTGCATTAGCTCACAATGTTTTTCTAGGTCTAGGTCAAAGACCTGCTATTAAACTTTAAACATGGGATGACTATGCCTTGCCCCTCCAACAGCTAAACACTATTTTGCCCCTAGTGTTATTCTATATGCATATAACATTGTTGAAAGCTATCATTACGATACTTCAGCATACGGTGTCATTTGTATACCAAAAAGACATACACTCTTTCTCTGTAATAAATCCATGTTCTAAACCAGTGGCTGGTTCAGTCATGGGCTTGATGAAGGCTAATAAATTTAAACTGGATTCTGTTAAGACAGAGAACCTATGTGAGGGCAGTTCCCAGGTCTGACAATTATACTGATAAATGTTTTTAGGTAGGACTGCACTACTCTGGCAGAAAAGGTCTGTAGTTTCAAGATGTTCCTAAATCCATTTCTGTCAACAGAATCTCAAATACTTGGAGTGCTCATTACCAACTTTGGCTAGTTTGACAGATATGCCTGTTGCTAAACAGGGACAGCCTAGCCACTGTGGTTCATGTACGAGTAATTATATTACTGTAATGCAGTTTGTGTGTGCTCCACTTACACCTGCTTCAAAAGCTGCAGATAATGCAGAATCTAAAATGCTCAATGGGGCACTCAGCCACACTATTACACCTGTGCTAAAAGAACTGCCTGTAAGCTACTGGACCATTTCCAAGGTTATGTTGTTAGCATACAAAGCGCTAAACAATTTGGGAGTAGATTACTTAACAGACCACCTGTCCTTATATAATATATACACTAAGCTGACCTCTAGGACAATCAGAAGAGATTTTATTGGTCATTATGTGACCACATTATAAGTAACCTGTCTCAACAGTGGTGGCCACCCTCTGACACACCCCACTCCATGAAGTTCAGGAGGCAGAACAGTTGATATTTATTAAATGCTTCTTGAAAATGGACTGGTTTAAGCAGACTTTCTCTGACTTGGTAATTAATCGTTTAGTTGTTGTGTGAGGGGCACTAACTAAGTGGTACAGTACATGCTTTTCATGAGGAAAGTCTCATGTTTAAAGCCCTACCATTTCTAGGAAAGAACCAGAAAAGAATTCAGCCTAACACCACTGAAAACTGCTGCCAGTCACTGTCAATAACATTAGGGAAGGAGCCATGATTTGACTCATTATAAAGCAGCTTCCTATGTTCCATGTCCATTTTGCTGGTTTTTTAATAACTTTTACTGATGTTTAAATGTTTAATGGTGTTTGCTTTTTTAAATTTTAATATATTTTAAGCTGTAATTTTAATATTTTGACTTAGAGGTATTGTATTACACAGTATAGAGGTATTAATAATATAATTAAATAAATGGCTTGGGGCAAAGGTACTTGAAGTGTTACATTTATCAGTATCAAACTGATAAACTTTTTAATTCTGCTCAAACGACTGCCAGTAAGATCCTGCAGGGAGGCATGCACACACAAAGACAGGACTTTTGCAGTGGTGACCCTCCTGACAATGCAACTCCCTCCCAACAGAATTACAAATAGCCTCTTCTGTATAATACTTGAAATGGGCCTTAAAACCTTATGTGATTTGATCTGCATTTCCCCAAAGTGTTTAGTGTTGCTACTGATTTATTTAAATTTCTGTAGACTATCTTTGCTGTAATGATTCTTCTAATGTCTTTAAGATCCAGTTTTGTAGTAGTTCTTAAACTTTCAGTATTTTAATGAATTTGGCATTTTATTGTGTGAGTCATCATGTGACAACTAAGGGCTGAAAGGGTGGTCTAATAAAATAAGCAGCTTTGGCAAGATACAGAACTGAGCAAGATTTTATATTTGTATTGTGATATTTAACTTGATCAGTGTGAACTGAATAAACTCCATTACTGTTAGTGTTATTCATTTTCCATTGAATAAAAAAAAAAAAAAGGGCATGTACTTCATCAGCCCCCCCCCACTTTTTAACCAAAACCTAAAACTCACAGTAGTATGATTTTTCTAGGTAGCTAGGTATGCTAGGTAGCTGATATGTTTAGCCATACTTGATAAATTCAGTCATAACTATACACAAAATGTATTAAATTTGAAGAAACAAAAATTTCACCTGAAGAGACGTCTTCCTTTTTTCTGATCATATGATCCTTTGTAAATTTTACACGTTGATGAGCTTCTATGCATGTTTTGCACAGCCATTCTCCACATTCCACACAGAAACCAACAGCACTAGAATTGTCTTCACAGCTGGTGCACACCTAAAAGCAGGAAAAAATATTTTCAAATCTGAAATCTCAACATTTCAATCCAGAAATTACCAAAGCCTACATCTAAACAAGATGTAAACTGAACCACATTGCAAGGAGAATAGTGGGTGTATCATACCTGTTCAGATTTCTCATCAGAGCTGCTGGGTGCTTCAGATGTGTCTTTGACAAAGTAGTTATCTACCAAATCTATTTGCCTGCATTCCTGGCGACAGATTGGACACCTGATCACACCAACTGCAACCAAAAGAGGATACATCTTACACTTCTCTGGATTACCATAACTTAATTTTTTGTGGGAAAAAAACTGGCATTTGATTAACTTAATGACTGCTAATGAACATGTAGAATCTCCTTTTAAATCCATTAGCATAATGTGCCCAGTGATAAAGGTATAAGAACACTTTCCACTCCAGTGAACCAGGTAATGTTTTACTCTATTTGTTAACAACTAATGCCAGACCAAAAAAAATCATATTCCTATGAGGTACATAGTGCTTGGATAACCAGGCAGCAGCTTTTTCCCCCCAGTCCCACTAGTGCTCCATAAGCTTTTAGAATGGGGTTGTTTTTGTTTCTGTTTTAATAAATATTTCTGCTGCCAGGGATAATGCATGTTACAGAGACAAATAAATAATGCTGCAACAATTACAGGTGGAAGGTACTTTATGCAACAATACTTCCATGCTTTGTTGTTAGCATTTAATAGGCTGGATTTTAACGAAGTTGGTTACATTTGGATATCATTTTTCATAGGACAAAACAGACAATGCCTTAAGTCCCATTTAAATTAATAGGCATTTCATGAAGCTCTAACCTCAATGTCTTCAATCTTCATTACTAAAAAAAGACAGTAGCCATCAGTGTATGTGTGTGGGGGGGTGTATATATACTGATATGGTTCCTAATGAAAATCCATAATAGTTCAGAGCACCTTGACATCATGATTTAAATATGAAAGTTTTATGTAATATGTTATATCTTACCTCTCCCTACTATACTATTAGTTTTGAACATGTTTACTTTATTTGCATCCTCTGGAAACACCGGCCTAAAGTTTTCACTAAATAAAAAGGCAATACCATTTTTAAATAAAACTGCAACATATGAATGAATCTCATACTGTCTTAAGTACATTCTACATAAACCTGAAGAGGCTCCCAGAGCTGTGTCCAATACTGAACTATAGTCACTCTTGTAAGACAAGCTATATTATATAAAAAATGAAAGGGCAACCTGTGGCCCTGCAAATGTTATTGGGCTGCAAGCTGGGGGCTGGATTTTAGTTGAAGTCCAACAATATTTGGAGGACTGCAGGATGCTCCCTCCTGCCATAAAGCAAAGAACAGAATTTATTTTTCTAGCCATTCAAATGATCGTTAATGATGCTGTTGCTATTGAATTAACATCCCCATCAAACATTAGCAGCAAATTAAAACGACTTTACAGTACTACTGTACTGGCCCTGGATATTGGTTCCTTTCCCAGTCTGAGAAACTGAAACATTTCCATGTAAATGAGAAAGTCTCCATACTCCAAAAATGACACACCCGGAAGCAGATTCTGAATTAAAGTGGTATTTTTACTGGGGGGGGGGGGATTTGATCTTCTCCCAAAGTTAAGTGCAAGACAATTTTTTACAATTATGTTCATAGACAAAAATGTAGATAGTATGCTGCTGCATGATTTTTCAGGATACAACGTTTTCCAATTTCAGAACAAGATCAGTTTTTGCTAAGTTTAGCTGGTCTCCTTGACATCAAACTACTAAGGCTGAAATAAGTAAAACTATGATGGGAATAGTTGATTTTTAACATAATCAACCCTTTTGGAACCTCATATAGTCTTGAAAGGAAGCAGGAGATGACATATTAAATATAGCTGGGAATGAAATCTCTGATTGCCCTGCTAGATTATTTACTTGATTTACATCCTGGAATTTACTTTTCTTTTAAAAGAATTCAAAGTGGCTTACATAATTCTTTTCCTCCTGCTCTCAATCATATCCCCACAACAACAACCCTGTGAGGTGGGGTGGTCTGAGTGGCTGTCACTGGCCCAAGGTCACCCACTTGGCTCCATGGCTAAGTGGGGACTAGAACTTGAGACAGCCTGAGTCCCAGACATGCACCCTTACATACCATACTGGCGTTTTACAAGTTTCTACAATGATATTTAAGAAGTATTAAAATGTACATGCCACATTAAATTATTGAGGAACTTAATAATTTATACTTATAGTGATTCCCATCAAATACTACAAAATAAGTAAAGAAACTTTTTAAATCGGACCATCTTCTGTTGCATGGGAAAATGCAAGCCGCCCCCCACCAAAAAAGTATCCCATTTTCAAAATCACTTTTGCATCCCTGCAACAGATATGTGATAGCATACTTTGTCTGAACATGTCTAAATAGCCACTCACTATTCTGACTTGATTTTAGACCAAGTCACAGACCTTTTCTATGACTTGGTCTAAAATCATACTTTCTAAAGCCATATAAAATTGGAATCATTGTTTTATTTTTGGATTATTGCTTCCTGTGGAAGCAAATTCCATAAATTATGTGTTGTATGAAGTAGTACTCTTGTCTCTCCTAAAGCTAATGTCAACCAACTTCATGGATGATCCCAAGTTCTAGTGAATGTAGAATGGGAAAAAGTATTTTAACAATATCCTTCACTTCATGCTTAACTTTATAAGCCACAACAATCAATACTGCCAGGAGTGAGCAACAGAAATTTAAATGCAAGTGGAGCAAAAGTTTGCAAAAGTAAAATATTTTGTTTAATCCATTTGTGCAGCAACTTGGGACAACATTCCTAGAGCAGGAGTCAAAAGTAAAGATCTGGTATAATAAAACCCAGACAGATATCTTCCAGATCAGAGTGAAAGATGTGAAGTCTATCCTGGTTTTGTTATCAACTGAGCAGATATGAACTTCCACTACTATTTCTCAATATATTATTTCAACTCACAGAAATTAGCAAGTGTGAATCCTACAGCTCTTCTCTGCAATCTATAGCTTTACTATGTTTCTCTAGAGTGCAGCATTTGACTAGGAAAAAACCCTAGCTATCATGATTATAAAACTAATAAAGATCCACAATTCAATTGCTAGACCCTATTGCCATCTGAGCAAATATATCTTTCCTCAAACTTGGATAACTCGCTCTAAAGATCAGCTTTCTATGCCAAATGATACTCCATTACAACGGGACTAGAAGTCTGTATAAGCTGACAAGAATGAGTATTTTCACTTAGTGATCTATTCTCTCATTTCTATTCCCATGAATTTTAAAATTTACATAACACTGCTGAGTGGGGTCATCTGGAGTTTTGGGGTGCATTGCCATCAGTATGCTGAGAATAGGCAGCTCTATTTCTCCTTTTTATTGTCAGCAGGTAAGGCTTGGACATGCTAAACCAGCATCTGGTTGCAGCAAAGGACAGGATGAAGGCTAACAAACTGAAACTCAATCCACCCCCTAAAGAACCGAGTTCATAGTTGAGGGGTTCTCCTTGATCCATCTATGTCACTTGAGGTTTGGATGGCCTCAATGATTCATATTACCTTGTGCCAGTTCCTAATTAGTTTCTCTGATTTATGGTATTCTATTGTCTTGTTTTATGGATTGTTGTAACCAACCTAGCAAGCTTCTATAAAGTGATACAGAAATGAAATAAGTAACTGTAGTAATGGGTTTAAGTCAACTTTCCTTCTTTTAGTTCATGTTACCTGACATTAACCCTTCCTTCTATACCACTCCAATTACCAGGATACTCCTGCTTCAGCTAGAAAATGGCAGTTATGAATTATCCTATCCACAAAAGAACTGGAGCAACTTCATCCAGAACTATCAAAGGACAAGAGCAATGGATAAAAATTAACAAGGGCTTCAGGCAGAAGCCTCAGCGGGCTGGATGAGGAAGGCAAGGGACCAGGCAGAGTCTTTGGAAAACACCACTTCAAGGTGCCCCAGGTTTAAGGTACTTCTTCAAGGTACTTCTAAATTAACATAGTTTAGTGGTCAAATTTATACCTTTGTTTTGGAAAGCTGCCTAGGAAGGCCTCAGCCTAGAAAGGCCCCAGGAAGGCCTATAAAATGTATTTATAGGTGAGCTATAAATAAATACATAAATAAATAAACATATGAAAGAGTATCAATGAAAAACTTGATTTACATCAATTTAAATCAAGCATTTTCCTCGCTGATTTAAATCAATCCACCCTGCACGAACTGGTGACACAGCTGCCAGACTCCCAACTAGAAATGGAAGCACAGAAGTGCTTCAGCATTAGAGGGGTTGGACAGACAGATGGGATCCTGTGACTGTGCCAGCATTTGAGAAGAAAGATGAAAAAGATAAGCTGCAACAGAAGGAAGAAGGACCAAGTGCAGTTTGGTACTCAGGAAAACCAAGGGCTCCATGGTAAGCAAGTAAAACTTACATTACACCCCTGAAATAAATGCTTTTAACACACATAAGGAGGTTTTGCCTTCCAGGCACAAGCATACCTTAGGAGGTTATTAGGAAGAAGCTAGCAAATCCATGTATTTTAATGCATTAAAAATATTAATATCCTGCCTCATCCCTACACTTGAAGCAGCTCATAACCACCACCTAATGAGAGAGAAAATAAAAGCAATAAAACAATGAATCATCCAATGAACTGCAGCAATAAAACTAACTCATCTGGGGCTCAGCTCCTAAACTAGAAGTCTTGTAACCTCTTCCAGAAATAAGAAATCAGCTTTGGAAGACCTTTTCCAGGAAGCTATTCCACAAACATTAAGATACCAATTATAAAGCCTTGATTCTTGCTGAATTCGTTCTGATATATCACAGTGATGGCATAAGCAGAGTACCTGATGCAGAACTTTGAGTGGAGTGGCTCATATTAGGCTCAGAAGTTACAACAGAATTGGTTCCATATGGTCCCACTTCATCAAGGATGTAAACCTCATCATTTTACACCATCTCCAAGGTCATATCACACTAGTGTATTGTGGTTACAATGGCATGAATGAGGAGACAACCCATCTTCTTGACAAAGAAATAGAATCCAAAGGAACAAAAATTCGAAGTGTTTCCATAAAGCTGATATGCCAAAATTGACCCAGTAACTAAGGGTCATATTTCTGGTCTCTAAAGGAAACTGACAAAGGGCAACATTTATTTATTTTAAATAAAAGAGACTGAGGTTTCACTTATATTATGTTGCTGTTACAAG